TGTGAAAATGTGCTCACTTCCTTGTAAACTTTAGACCATGCTTACGCTTTTTCCTATTTATTTTATTTTCATAACAATTGCAGAATACATTCCTCACCTTTGCTGGCAGTGATGGGTTCATATTCCCGGGGGGCCATACAACAAGTTATCATGTGCATCTCTCATTTAATTGGACCTAGTAGCCTAGTAAATAGATGGGGATAAACGTACAACAATGACCTCCCACCATCTTGCAAACTCCCGCCCTTCTCTGCTAAAAGCATATCGAGAGCCAACCTATTCTGCCAGGTCATGAGTGAGGTGGCGGATAGTTGGTCTGAGATTCCCTTTACTGCATCCCTTTGACTAACTAATGATTGTAATAGATGTAATTAATCCAGTCAACATTTTTATTAATTGTAACCCACCAGAAAAACGTTGTTGTAAACCCTTCTCCAATTTGATCTGCGATTCGCATTACTTGTCTATAACATTGATCATCTCCGGGGGTCATGGTGAATTGGGGTGCCTTAGTATTATCCTTTTTAAGAGTGGTTATTTTAATATCAGAACAATTAGGTGAGGTTTGGTTTGATCCCAAATCTATCACACAAGACAACATGGTCTGAGGCATAGGTGCAGTTTTAAAAGGGTTGGCCTACCTGTTGAACAGGCATAACAATTAGTTTGACCCAACGCCCTAGCTGTGTAGTTCATCCACCTTAGTTCTCATTTGAAATTCCTTCTACTTCTCCTTGGTTCATTTCCTGCAAGAGTTCATTTCCTTCTACCCTTGGTGGTTTAGTGCTATTTAGGATTCCTTCTGCGGGCCTTCCAAGGGGTATTAGACTATTTTTTGATACCTCTGGTGATAACATTGGATCTACCTGCTGTTCTGTCTCGGAGGTGGAAGATTCATTTCTCTTCTGAAAAATGAACCTCACACATGTATCTGCCCCGTGCTCATCAACACAGGCCCAATAGTTCCTTGCTATGTCATCTTGCATAATTGACTTTACCGTTATCACCAGTTCCGTTTTACATTTATCATGGGTTTGTTTAATTCCCCATCGGTGTGCATGAATTTAATACCATTCTTGCTTAAACAATGCAATTCAACATCTCATCACCCAATTTCTATTACTTTTTTCACACAGGAAACCCTGTACAATCTCTATCCTCTATTGCTGACTTTCCATCTAACATTACTTTAACAGATAACCAATTATTTTTTAACTTTTAGTCAAAACAAACAAAACATCTGTTCCCAGAGCTGCAACTTAAACTACTCTGTTATACTAACTATGTGTTGCTAGGACAATCTATTTTCTATAAACTTATCAATTAGACCAGTCAGTCAATGTTATCTTACATACACTGCTTCATTATTCTTAGTGTTTGTTTAATAATCCTCTCTGAGTTCCCTTACTTCACTTCCCATGAATATAAGACATTCGCTTCTCTAGGCGTCATCAACTACATCCTATTACCTCTGTTATCAACTAAAATTATAGCCACCTCTTATGAAACCCCCAATCGGTCATTGTTTAGAATACAGCAGATCTAGGCAACTGTCCTTTCTAACGTATATCTACGTTTGGGTGAGCAAGTTAATATTTAATTATTATTCAAATTATTATTTTATGAAGTCTCTAGCCTCTCATTCAACACAAATCCCCTTCATCAAATATACTCCCAGCAGAACTGACAAAAAAAAAACCACAGACTGTAATTTCCAGGACACTGTCCCTTAGTAGGCCAGAACAATCTCCCCGCTCTGCTCTTGGTAAACTGCATACCTTTTAACCTCAATCAGTGTTGCTGTGCCCCAGCCAATCAGGTTCTTTTTTATTGTTTGAGAAATTTCAGGCCTCATTCCGCTTAAAAAGGCTATTTTTAATTGTTAATGATACGGCCCATCTGCTACCTATTTGCACTCATGGATTTTAGAAAAATCAGCATGTCTATGGTAGTAATCTCTAAGATTGTTACGTAGTTGATTAAGTTTATCTCGATACTCCCCATCTACGGCCCACTGTAAAATAAGTCTGTCCCCCCTTCCTTGGGTCCAGTCTCCCTTCACAGCTGCCCAATCCTTTCCTACCACTATCTGTCTCACTGCTCTTTCCACCCGTGTTTAACTTAAAACTTGCAGTGAGCCATTCCATATCTCTCCTGAATTTCTACTCCTATTTTCGGGTGTACCACCCCTTCTACGGCTCGGACCACATCTCTCTGGGTCCATGCCCTGTATACATCTAAGGTTGCCGGGGCTCCCTTAGCCACTGCCAATGCATTGGGTAAGGCTATCATTGGGTACTGGCCCCCTCCTACTCTCTCATCTCCTGACTCATACTGACTCTTCCTCTTCTGCCTCCTCTCTTTCCTTTCTCTTGGCCTCAGCTATGTACCTCTCTGGCTTTCTCCTTTTCTCTGACTTTCTCTGCCCTTGTCCTGTACTCCTCTACCTCTGGCTCTTCCTCACCTTCGTCTTCCCTTCCTCCTCCAGCCCCTACTTCCTCATAGGGAGGTGGGGCTGGTGGCGGGGCGACGTTGTTCCCCTGCACTCTCCTTCTCCTCACTACGTACTCATCATCTGGATTTTCTCTCCATGCCTGGTCTGCCAAGTTTGGATATAACCTTTCTTGCTTAGCTTTTAAAGGGGCTGGCAAGGTCTTAAACTCTTCTTCACTGCTCTTCTCACCCCCTTCTCTTTTCTTGCTGCCTTCTTCCCGCTTTCTAGCTTCTGCTAGCCATATCCTGGCTGTATCTAAGCCCTCTCTTTTCTGTTTCTTTAGATTAGTACCACAATTTACATGCATTTGTTTAATCATGGATTCTAGTTTAATTACATCAAGTCGCCCAATAAATCCATATTTCTTTCTCCAATTAGGTCCATAATACACATTCCGTTTGTCTCGCATTTCCATATATTTCTCGTCCCCAGTTAATTCTGGGACCTCTTGTGAGGATTTGCCTCCCATGGTTGGTACCGTTAAAAATCCCTTAGCCACCTCTTCTATATAACAAGTAATTCAAAACAGTTTCACACAACACCTGGAATCACCCCTTTCTGTTTGTAGTCTTGACTAGTCCCCCAGAATTATCTCATACCGTTACAGAGGAATTTATCCCCTCAAATGTAATCTTGACAATTCCTGACAGTCTCATACAACAGAAATGGGTTCTCCCTCTTCTCTATACAACCACATGGAATCACCCCTTCCTCTATAGGTAGTCTTGACTAGTCCCCCAGAATTATCTCATACCGCACAATTGGCCCAGCGTCGTCCAGGGTAGGGGAGGGAATGGCCGGCAGGGATGTAGCTCAGTTGGTAGAGCATGGCATTTGCAACGCCAGGGTTGTGGGTTCGATTCCCATGGGGGGCCAGTAAGAAAAGAAAAAAATGTATGCACTAACTGTAAGTCGCTCTGGATAAGAGCGTCTGCTAAATGACTAAAATGTAAATGTTACAGAGGAATTTATCCCCTCAAATGTATTCTTGACAATTCCTGACAGTCTCATACAACAGAAATGGGTTCTCCGTCTTCTCTATACCGGGTAGTTTCTTTTGGTAATGGCCTATTACCATGAATCGTTACAGACCCACTGACATTTCACTAATGAATAAAGACTACTGACCTTATCCTTGCAGCCGAGATTCAATGTAGGTTGGATTCCGTCACCGTCTCTGTCATTATCCAGGTGTCCTCTGGCCTGTTTTAACCCTTAATGCCAAAGGGCAGGTCTTTCTATTTACGAATGTATCATTCGCCTGTCGACGGTTTGCAGAGTTACCTGGAATGACAGAGGCAGGTATTGGAATCCGTCTCGAAGGACCAAGCTGTTAAGATAATTTATTAACTAACTATTTCAGTGTCTGTGCGTTTCCCAAAGTTTGTAAGACTGGTTCAAGAAATGGACAGAGCCTCAGTGCAATAGCCAGGTCTTTATTCAGAGAATTCTGGCCAGAGAATTCTATCACAATTTCAGAGTCCATCTTTTATACACACACGTCATACAAAAATCCCACCCGCTTTTGGCGGGCTGTATTTTTCCACTGTACATGGGTTTAGCTCATGTTTTCCTCTGCTCTCCTGACCATCAGGTCACACACACAGACACATATTCTTATCATAGTCTACTCCTTGATCGGGCAGGCTGCATTTTTTAGTTATCGCCGTTCTCACAATATTCTGACTGCCTCATTGTACTTCCAACTAAGCTACACCTATTATCAGATTATAGTCTTATGATTCTAACACTTTTCACACAGTTTCAGGGTGTAATAATTAGTCATTAATAATTAGTCATTACCAAATTCTTCTATCACGGATGGATGTAGAATTACTCTGAGAGGAGATTCCATCCATGCTAGTCTTCTTGGAAGGTGGGGGAGGCGTGGGATACTCAACATCAAGTTTGGTGGCAGTTCGTATGATTGCCTCGAAGAAGGGGAGGTCAGTTATTGACTCCTGCCCTACCTCTTCAGTCTGGCTGGGTAGCACAAACTGAGCAGAGGGGAGAAATTCTTCAGGGGCTAATCCATATCCTTGTCAGAGGGCGCTGCCTATGCCATCATCCTCACTTCCGGATTAATTGGAATTAAGGTCCGCCCCCTGGGAAAGGTGGGGGTTTTCCGAATCAGCCTGAAGCACAGACGGAGGAGATGCCCGAGTAGCTTCTCCCTCCTCTGGGACTTCCTTGTGAACAGAGTCGTTCTCGAGCAAGGACGAGGCCTGGGCAATACTTTCCATGTACTTTGCGCTACGTCTAAGGACACCGGCGCCCAGCTGAGCGCAATGCACACAACTAGCGGGGTCGACGAGAGCCTCATAGCGTGTTCAACGTCGAGGCAAGTAGTACAGAGCGGATGGGAATCTGTCCCGGACATGTAATGCCCGCAGCTTGCCATCTCGTTTCGACCGGACGGACGAAAGCATATGGAATTACCGGGGGGCTAGCTAGCCACCACACGTGCTGCTACTCCAACGCGAAGTCGGGAGCACCACGGGGTAACATGAGCTTGAGCCAGGTAAGCTTTACTTACCAGGGTGGTGGGGAAAGAATGCTGTGTTTATACTTTCGGTGTAGTGAAAGTAGAGCCAACAGTGATGCTAGCAAATTAGCTGGCTATCTTCACCTGACTGATGATGGCCAGCTAGCCGAGCAATCGCGTGAGATACCAAGTGCCGACTCAGTGTGTAAACCAAGTAACTTGAGGTAGGACGAACGGCTGGGTTATCTTTCACAGGGGAATGTAAAAGGGATGGTGCTTCAATGGTGGGGTAACACACTGAAGAAACAACATCGCTCGTGCTAGCCAAACAAACCGAATGGGGGTTTAGCCCAGAGGTTGCTAGCTAAAATACCAGTAGTGCCGTTAGCCCACTAACTAGCCAAGACACTCGAAAGTTCAGCTAGCTAACTCTGAACGGTGGGAACCGACGGAGAGCTAGAGACCCCTGGTAGAAGTAGCTAAAATTTGTGGGGACCTGCTATTATCGGAATGCTAAAGCATTGGAGCTAGCTAGCTAACAACGGCAATTGTGTGTCGGCCAGGCAACCGGTGTACTTAAACTAGCCGACGCCTCTGTAAAGTGAAGCTGAAGTTAGCTGAATTCCTGAAAATATAAAATAAGGCACAACGCTCCATGGTGGAAGTTTTCTGAAGAAAGCTGCTTAACGGGCTAGTAACCAAATAGACTCGTGAAGAGGCGAAGAATGAGTAAACTTTCTTCTTCGATGAGGGTTAATGTCGGTTGGCGTCCAATAAATGTTGCATTACCACCACCTACTAGATTGGAGTATACCTCCCTTATACTTTGCTTTTTATTTACAAAAAATACAAATAAATCGACAAATACCCTACCATCTAACCCTACACTCACTAAAAACCCACCACCCCACTGCACTATTTCAATCTATCTAGTCCTACCTCAGGCCAACAGCCTGAAAGGACGGGACACCACCACTCAACACACCCTGTAACTCTTCTGACGTCAAGTCTCGTACACCCAAATACCTCTCTGCAGCCACCACAACCTCTATTATCTGCAACTTACTTTCCATCCCTGCATTTACGTTCCATCCCGGCAGTACAGTTGATAGCCATTGCTATAAACGCTAAAAATCCAATCTTATTGAAGCATATATCACTTGTTGGCCCATCCCTCTGTACTGATACAGATCTACTACACACCACTCCTCTCAGGATCCCTCCCTCTTGCCCCATCTTCCTCTACTTTCTTCACTGCCTCAGCATACAACAACTTCCACACTACTCTATCCCTGGAATCCTCAACCTGCCTCTCTCGCACCGGACATTTCTGATCGCCAGCCCTATGGGCACACCTGCAATTAACACATACCACTACTTTCCCCAATGCTACACATTCCTTTGTCTCATGCCCTTCTGCACACTTCTAACACCTAGGAACCTCCCTCCTACACACTGCTGCCACATGCCCATAAGCTTGACACCTGTAACAACGTAATATATTCGGCACAAAAGCTTGAATAGGATAACTTGTATACCTTAACATCACTTTGTCGGGCAAAGACTCTTCTGTTTCACCACACACGCCCGCCTGTCTGTGTCGCACCAAACGACGAGCGTCACAAACACCGGGAATCTTCCCCTTCAGTTGGTCAGCTTTCACATTTACCGCTACCCCAGTAATCACTCCTTTCAATGACACCCTTTTCTTGAGCGCAAAACAATTCACATCTCTTGTCGCCATTCGTTAAATGCGGAGCGCCTGCTCCCTCTGACCAGCAGAAACACAAACGATTATCACAAGACCACTTCTGGTTACCTTCACCGATTCCACAGCACCCAACTCTGTTTTCACCCACCCTGAAACCACAAATGGATCAGCCAAAAGGCAAGGGTCCACTTTTAACAAACCATCTCCATTTTTCCCGCTATTTTTAACCTATTCAAGCTCAACCTCTTCCTCCCTCTCTCTTGTCAACCTCCTCTGCCTCTTTTCCCCTCCATTCCTCCTCCGTATTCCAAGTATACGTCTCCTTATGATAATACTGCACTTTTCCTGACATACATCTTGTTCTTGCCCTCTCAAGGGATGCCATTTTCCCCTGGGCTAATCCTTTCTCGTCAATCACTCTGGACGTGTACTGGGATTCTGAGAATTTCAACGTTGCCTTAAGCTGAGCTTCAAATGAGGAAACCAGAGCAGTACAGGATGTTACACACAGCTCTGATTGGCCTGTTAGGCGTGATTGAATAAGGCTTCAACCAATGACCCGCAAAAGAGGGCATGTCCCATAGTGCGATGTCGAACCAAGTCGACTGAAAGAGGACCATTTATATTTACGGTAAATGTCTGTTGCTAAGCCCCGAACCCTCTCTCCGCACATGACATTCCGTTGCTAATGTAAGTTTAAGTACATATTATGTCAATTGAAATCTCCTCATGCTGCCTCTCCTCGAACTTTCATCAATCAGAAAAGCCCCTGAGGTAACTAAGGGTTATTCTTTCATCTGTCCGCTAACATGGCCCCCAAAGGTCAGTAGTTCAGATATTGCCTAATTCAGCTGGCCTAGACCCACTGATAAACTCCTCACCTAACGTTCATAACTGTGAGTCAAGATTGACTGTACAAGATACAATACTCAAATCCCTCAGCAGATCTGAGGCCTAGCTTTCCCTATCAATAGAGGGTCTTCCTTGGATCAGAGCCAATTGGGGTAGGGGTTGAAATGCACACTTCACTCAGCACCCCATCCATTTCTCAATGCCTTCTGCTCAATGGCTCAGACAGCCTGTGTGCTCCTTTAGCCAGGCCTGAGATAGAGTTCAACGTGCCTGTGATGGTCTAAACCAGGGCTGCCCAATTCTGTTCCTGGAGGGTTTTCATCCTCCTTCTAATCAGGGACTAATTCAAACCTGGGACACCAGGTGAGTGCAATTAGCTACCAGGTAGAAACAAAAACCAGAAGTGTTTAGGTTCTCCAGGACCGGAATTGGGCAGCCCTGGTCTAAACACTCCACACTAATGGAGCAGGTGGACCAGGTGATGTCCACTATATGACCACTCTGGAGCAAACAAGACCCAGATGGCTTGTGGTTGTAACCTTCCACTCACTGATCTACACTCCTGTCCTCAAATCACTCAGTCCATAGTTGTTTTAACTAAACATTGGCTACAATTTCCCCTTTCCTTGAGAATCGTCAATTTTCTTTTTAAACCTACAGTTCTATCCTTGCCTCTCTTCAGCCTGTATGTAAATCGATATTTAAATTCTCATCAAAGTGTAAAAATCCTCTCCTCCTCCTCTTCTGACAGAAAATAGTTAAAGCGGGAGATAAGGACCTGGACGGCCAGCTGGACTTTGAGGAGTTTGTCCACTACCTGAGAGACCACGAGAAGAAGCTCCGGCTGGTCTTCAAAAGCCTGGACAAGAAGAACGATGGTAAGAGCACAGAGAGGGGCCCCATAGGCCGGAGCCACACAACCACTGAATGCTGTCACTTGTATCACTATGTTTATCTTAAACCACAGTTTAGCCTACAACGTGGTATGACGTACTATTCACTTGGGGGGAAATTATGCATTGGGTTTAGCTGTGCATACACAATGACATCTGAGGAAATTCAGCCTTTAGGTCAATTACATCGAGGTGCTATTTTATAAGCTGGTATTAAAAGCTTAGTGATATATTATCCGCTCAGTGAGATGATATAATAATTCAAGCCCCTTACGAGTGGCTGATGTTGATGTTTAGTCTTTTGCCCCGCAGGTCGCATCGACAAGCAGGAAATCATGCAGTCCCTTCGAGACCTGGGGGTTAACATCTCCGAGCAGCAGGCTGAGAAGATCCTCAAAAGGTAAGGCTGTCAACCTGGGCTGACGTGTCTCCCGTCTCACCGACACTCTTGTCTAAACCATTAGCTCTAAGTGTCTGTCTGTGTTAGTCAGTCCAGCATGCGTTTAGTCTCTTCTCTACTTCTTACTCTCTCTACTTCTTACTCTCTCTACTTCTTTCCCCCTTTCACCTCTAATTCCTGACTGGTGAACCGGTCTTGACTGTTTGCAGTCAGTGTCGTCTATTTACCACTGGCGGTTAGCTAGATGTTTGGGTCAACTGGGTATCCCAAGTCCACCAGAACCTTCCACAGAAGTGTTTCCCTCCAAGCATATTCCCTCCGGGATACTGCCTGCCTGCTAGCCCTGGTCAGAGCTGCCACTCCTATGCTGTCATACCTGATGGCTTTTTTGGGGCTTGGCCTTTTTATAGAAATAATAAATAAAAAATGTTGTGCCAATATAATTTACTCTGGTTAATATAAACCTAGCGTTATTTTCTTCTCTGACTGAAGTGAAGTGTTGCATCTTTGTTTTAATACCAATAAGTAGATCTACTTTTCTTTTATGTTACATATTAAGCCATTTTCCACCACGACCAATATGGATATCACTGAATCACTAAGATTCCATGATATCCCCCCCTCGTTCTTTTTAGTTCTAAATGTGTGTATGTGCTTCTCCCTGTCCTCTAGTTCTCTGTGCCTCCCCTCTCCCTTTTCTCTCTCTCTTTCACCCTCTTGCTGGTCTCAGAGTAAGGAGGGGCCTTATCTGGGCCCCTATCATGTAGTAATGGAATCCTCTCCGTCTGCTTGCCCTACCTGTCCCGTCCCTGTCACAAACCAACGCATCGTCTTCTCTTCTTATTCTACTCTGTGTTTCTGCCCTCTCCTCCAAGTTTTATTTTCATTATTACAAAGAAAGCGACAGCAAAAAGCTGCATCCCTTCAATTGCTTGTAAAAAGTCCAAATTAAGAAGAGTACTGAATGATTCCCATTCCCCAACACACGAAAGGCCCATGTCATGCTTAAATTTGAAAAGGAAAAAAGCAGCACTTAAAGGCATTGATCCTTTTATTCAAAAGGTGTGCATGTGTGAGCATACTGCTTCTGAATTCAGGCTCACACACATAAGTGTTCTGGTGAAACAAAAGAGAAGATGCGCTGTAAAAAGCTACATTCTAATGGGTCTGGTCTTTTCTGTTTTTCTCACAGCATGGACAAGAACGGCACGATGACCATCGACTGGAACGAGTGGAGAGACTACCACCTACTGCACCCCGCCGTTAACATTCCCGAGATCATCCTGTACTGGAAACACTCAACAGTAAGACTAAGTTAGAAAGAAAAACAGCACTTTTTCTCTCAGGGTTGTTCTAAAGAACAAGCTTTCGTTGTTTTTCATCAAGTAAAAACTACCAGGATAGTATGAGACACGTTTGTATCACTGTCTTCAGCTATTAAAGCTTTTGAATGACAAATACTGTAAACAAAGGAAGGAATTTTCTGAGGGCCGTTTATAGAAAAGCATAGTTGTGTTCATATATTGTCAATGCTCCCACAGACACTCTCCATGCCCCAGCCATATTAGCCATCTAGGCCCTGACCAGGGTTCCCGGAAATACTCCCTAAAGGAGCCAAACAGGTCACTGTGATCCTGCTTAATCCCCTTGAACAGATCAACCAACCACCTTCCGCTGACGTCAATCAGCAAGCTTTTCCGCTACCGTATCCTGTTAGGCCAGGAGAGCAGACAGTCGTTCCTGTAGATCATAGTGGAGATTCAGTTCACACACTCGTCGTGTTCATGAAGGTCAATTTTTATATTGGAGTGACACGGGACCATAAGAAGTACTGTGGCTTATGTGAATTAGAGTTTTTGAGCAGGATGCCTTTTTACCTGATTCCCCCGGTGAATGTTATATCCTCGTCGGTTCGACCTGCTATCACGGTACGTTTGTGCGTGCCTCGGGGGGGACCTGTTTTAAATTGGGAGACTACCACTCTCTAAGTGGACATGAACTTGAGGGAATTTGAATGGGTTAAAAGCGGCTCTCGCAGCTGAAATAGTTGGTGCTCTCACGATTTCTTCTAAGAACTCACAGTTAAAGTCAAGGGACATTCCTGTTCAAATTATCGTGGCGCACCGACTGGCTGATCCCCTGCAGGAGGTGGAACTGTTATGTAATACCTGTTTACATACTGAAAACCTGTGATGCTTCTCTGCCTTATTGGACCCCCCTCTACAGTTGTCAAAACAAGGCTTTCAATTATATCCCAATGGGATGCCTATATGTGTTGGCTTATGATTGCATAATACTGTTGGTCGCAGGTTAGAATCAGGAAATTGACCCACCAGTCCAACAACTCTATATGTCAATCATGGTACCCCGCTGTGTGTGTTCGCCTCCATCCCTCCATCCACTTTCCTGACCTGCTCCTGTCTGTCTGTAGATATTTGATGTGGGGGAGAGTCTGATGGTGCCAGATGAGTTTACAGCCGAGGAAAAGAAGACTGGGATGTGGTGGCGACACTTAGTGGCTGGAGGGGCAGCCGGCGCCATGTCTCGAACATGCACCGCACCCCTGGACCGGCTCAAAGTGCTCATGCAGGTAAGGACACTCCCATGGAGAGGATATTTCAAGAACTGACCTCGGTTCCGTTAAGAAGGAAAAAGGACAATAACTTATTTTTGTGTTCACACTGCAATTGAACTCCAATCCTCTTTAATGCAACAATTCTTAGTTCACTTTTAAACTGACAGTCAGGATATTTGGCTCACATTAAATACAAGCTTAAAAGCTCACTCCACCTTTTAGCTTATACATTATACATTATTCATATAACCTATGTATTTATCCTATTGCAGAGAGACAATTGCATAAGGCCTGTTCTTAGGACACTGTTTCTGCTAGCGAGTGCAATTCCACTGATAGCACCCGCAATGATTGAGACACTCAGAACAGAAGCATTCAGAACAGAAGCACTCGTGTCAGTAGAAGCCCAATGGGATAGATAACAGCTCAGAGTTCGTCCTTCTTTCTTTATCTGTTTATCCCATTTTCCATCGATCTGTGTTCACTCATTCCCAGTGTTTCTTTGAGTGGATAGATAGAAACGGAGCACTATAACAGTAAAATGACATGAAAACATGAACAATGTGTTGACACGTTCCACCAACATTATAGGGAGATTTGATAGAGGAGAAAAACGATCTGTCTTACGGTCTCGTTTCCAGGTCCACGCCTCCCGTACCAACAGCATGTGCATCGCCGGCGGCTTCACCCACATGATACGCGAGGGCGGCATGAGGTCACTATGGCGAGGCAACGGCATGAACGTCATCAAGATCGCCCCCGAGTCGGCCATCAAGTTCATGGCTTACGAGCAGGTAAACCTATCGTTCAGCACCTTTACTTTAATATGGTGGGACCCTTTCTAGTGCTGTCAAGTTGAAGCCAATTAACGTTTTGGTATTAACTGCTCTGTAGTTTAGGAACATACTCAGAGGAAATACTACTATAAGCTCCTGTCACTTACCAAGTTGGTCTTGACTAGGTCCTCTCATGGCCTCTCATAGTTGAACTCAAATGCTCTTGAGGACTGTCACTAACCAGCGTTGTTGTGTTGTGCAGATCAAACGTTTGATAGGCAGCAACCAGGAGACACTGGGCATCCTGGAGAGGTTTGTGGCGGGATCTCTGGCTGGAGCCATCGCCCAGAGCAGTATCTACCCCATGGAGGTGTTGAAGACACGCTTAGCCCTGAGGAAGACGGGCCAGTTCTCTGGCATCGCTGACTGTGCCAAATACATCTTCCGGAAGGAGGGCATGGCCGCCTTCTACAAGGGCTACATTCCCAACTTGATAGGCATCATCCCCTACGCCGGCATCGACCTGGCTGTCTACGAGGTGTGTGTGTGTCAGGGTTTCTGTTAGGAAAATGTGACGCCGGACAACGTGATCGGGTAGATTTAAATTTACCAGCCATTTGAGAAATGTACGGGACCCATATGCATTGGGTGTGTAACCCATTAGGGTGTCCACCCACAGTGCTCAGAATGACGGAAATCACATTTAGATTATGGGTAATGCATCTTAACAGAACATGCAACTCCTGTAAAGAAGCAGCCAATAAAAAATAATTTTCAAACATTTGCCAAAATGCAATTCGTGGGAAAACGCCATTCTAAACAGCACAACTGATGCGAGCGGTTCCATAGGCCTATGTGACAGAGATGAAAATCTCAGTTAGAAATGGGTTGCTAATATGACTATGATTGTGCCTTTGGCTTCTGGACAACGAAAGAAAGTTGATATGAAAACCAATAGAACAGGAGAGAAATGGCATATGAGGAAGTCTTTCGTAGGCGGCGCATTCAATAGCTTCCCCTAAAGTAAAGTGAAATATATTTGCCAAAATTTATATATTTACTCAAAATACTTCACCAGAGCATGACTTAGCCACAGAGGAATCGAGGATCATTAGCTTCCTTTTTTAAAATAGCTGTGGATTGTTTCAAATCACAAGCTCGTATAGGCTTATGCCTATATGGACAGCGCGCGTGGCAATTGGCAAAAGCTGATTAGCTGTCAGTGAAAAGCATCTAAAATATGTGTGAAGATAATGTGCCTTGAGTATAATTACAAATGTTGAGACAAGAAGGGGAGGGATGTGTGGCGAAGATATAGGGGCGTCTCTCTCCAGAATGCGCTCAGCTCTCCAGAATGCAGTTAGCTGTCTCTCGCCAATTCTTGCGCATTCATTGTGTGAATTGGTTTTCCCCTTTGAGTGAATGTTTGTTTATTTTTATCAATTCCCCATTACATACAGTGAGCTCCAAAAGTATTGGGACAGTGACAATTTTGTTGTTTTGGTTCTGTACTCCAGCACTTTGGATTTGAAATGATACAATGACTAGGAGGTTGAAGTGCAGACTGTCAGCTTTAATTTGAGGGTATTTTCATCCATATCGGATGACCTGTTTAGAAATGACAGCACTTCTTGTACATAGTCCCCCCATTTTAGGGGACCAAAAGTATTGGGACAAATTCACTAATGTGTATTAAAGTAGTATCAGTTTAGTATTTGGTCCCAGATTCCTAGCACGCAATGATTACTTCAAGCTTGTGACTCTACAAACTTGTTGGATGCATTTGCTGTTTGTTTTGGTTGTGTTTCAGATTATTTTGTGCCGAATAGAAATGAATGGTAAATAATGTATTGTGTCATTTTGGTAAATTACAATAGAACATGTTTCTAAGCACTTCTACATTAATGTGGACGCTACCATGATTACAGATAGTCCTGACTGAATCAGGAATAATAATGATGAGCGGGAAAATTAGAAGCACATATCATACCCCCAAGAAAAAAAATTTTTTTGGGGGGGGTATGATATTTATGCCTCTTTCTCACTCATCATCGTTGCTGCCTATCGAATTTGACCCGCGGGTGATTTTATTTGGCTGCCTAAGTGTCTGTATATACAGTGCATTCGGGAAGTATTCAGACCCCTTCCTTTTTGCCACATTTAGTTACGTTACAGCCTTATTCTAAAGTGGTTTAAAATAATTTTTTCCTCATCAATCTACACACAATACCCCATGATGACAAAGCGAAAATAGGTTTTTAGAAATATTTGCAAATGTATAAAAATAAAAAAAAACGGAAATACCTTAACACAAGCAAATTAGCTCATGTTCCAAAGTATTCCCACGCATAAGAGAGATATACTGTATGTGATCGTATACAAATGCAAGCAAGGTTTGAAATTATTGTTTTAGTAAAATATTATATCTGTTTGCGGTCAATTTGCGGTCTACAAATTATTTGTCATTATGTTCCGGCCCCGCTCAAGAACAAATCAGCCCACGGCTGAATCTAGTTCATGATCCTGGGCTAGTTGATACAATGTTGCAAGTTCGCTAGTGACAACTTCGGGCCGGACCCAGTTGATCAAATCAAATCAAATTGTATTGGCCACATGCGCCGAATACAACAGGTGCAGACATTACAGTGAAATGCTTACTTACAGCCCTTAACCAACAGTGCATTTATTTTTCATAAAAAAGTAGAATAAAACAACAAAAAAGTGTTGAGAAAAAAAGAGCAGAAGTAAAATAAAATAACAGTAGTGCAGCTATATATACAGGGGGTCACCGGTGCAGAGTCAATGTGCGGGGGCACCGGCTAGTTGAGGTAGTTGAAGTAATATGTACATGTGGGTAGAGTTAAAGTGACTATGCATTAATAATTAACAGAGTAGCAGCAGCGTAAAAAGATGGGGTGGGGGGGCAGTGCAAATAGTCCGGGTAGCCATGATTAGCTGTTCAGGAGTCTTATGGCTTGGGGGTAGAAGCTGTTGAGAAGTCTTTTGGACCTAGACTTGGCACTCCGGTACCGCTTGCCGTGCGGTAGCAGAGAGAACAGTCTATGACTAGGGTGGCTGGAGTCTTTGACAATTTTGAGGGCCTTCCTCTGATTGATATGATACAATGTTGCACTTCACTAGCGATAGCTAAAGTCAAGACAGATAAAAAGGGAGGCAGACAGGCAGAGTAGAGAGATGAATGCGATAGAATGAACCTGAATTTTCATCAATATATTTTGAATTGTTTTTATTTGTCAGCTTAATGTGTTTTTACTTGTATTTTTAGTTGACAATGGAAGTTATAGCCTAGGCCAATGAAGCAGTAGGCCTATCTTCAATTACCAAATAAAAAATAGTAGCCATCTTTAATCGTGGCCATCAAAACTGTTTTTAACACGCGATTGCATTTAGAATTGTTGCCCAATGACTGGGCTTATAAAAGCACATGTTTTACAGCAGCAACCAGCTGAGGCGATGCAGAAGAAATCCAGCTCAAAATAGGCTCTGTAGGCCTATGCTGTGCGTGTATGATAGTTGTGTTGGATAAATAAGATGCATGACGACTAACGAAAATACACACTCGACTAGTATTTCCATCAATTAATAAAAAGCATAATTTTGCAATGTGATAGTTTTTTCTCCCGGTCAATTTGGCTGGCAATTATTTTATTTATCGTCTTCATTTTTTTTATTGCCTAAAGCCAGCAATTACCGTCTAACGGAAACCCTGGTGTGTGTGTGTGTTGCTAGGAGGCTGTACTATTAGGACATCTCCTCTCTGGCGTTCTAATATCTCAGGACCACACATTTTCTCTCTTCAGCTAACCATTTTGTCTTTCTTTTTCCAACTCTTTTTTTCTCCCTCCTTCCACCATCAAGACGCTGAAGAACTCATGGCTGCAGCACTATGCCACAGACAGTGCTGACCCAGGGGTGGTCGTCCTGTTAGCCTGCGGTACCACCTCCAGCACCTGTGGACAGCTGGCCAGCTACCCCCTGGCCCTGGTCAGGACCCGAATGCAGGCACAAGGTACGCCCACTGCCAATATCTATTTGGAGTTTCATTAGATATCTTGCATAGAATGAATTAGTGACAGTGTTGGTTCATGGACCCACCAAAACCTGTGGTACAATGGAATTTGTTAATCGGGGATGCATAATGTCTGTCTTCATATTGGTAGTGGGGTACAGGGGTAGTGTGTTTTATTACAGATATATACAGTGAGGGAAAAACGTATTTGATCCCCTGCTGATTTTGTACGTTTGCCCACTGACAAAGAAATGATCAGTCTATAATTTTAATAGTAGGTTTATTTGAACAGTGAGAGACAGAATAACAACAAAAAAATCCAGAAAAACGCATTTAAAATTTTTATAAATTGATTTGCATTTTAATGAGGGAAATAAGTATTTGACCCCCTCGCAATCAGAAAGATTTCTGGCTCCCAGGTGTCTTTTATACAGGTAACGAGCTGAGATTAGGAGCACACTCTTAAAGGGAGTGCTCCTAATCACAGCTTGTTACCTGTATAAAAGACAACTGTCCACAGAAGCAATCGATCAGATTCCAAACTCTCCACCATGGCCAAGACCAAAGAGCTCTCCAAGGATGTCAGGGACAAGATTGTAGACCTACACAAGGCTGGAATGGGCTACAAGACCATCGCCAAGCAGCTTGGTGAGAAGGTGACAACAGTTAGTGTGATTATTCGCAAATGGAAGAAACACAAAAGTACTGTCAATCTCCCTCGAACTGGGGCTCCATGCAAGATCTCACCTCATGGAGTTGCAATGATCATGAGAACGGTGAGGAATCAGCCCAGAACTACACGGGAGGATCTTGTCAATGATCTCAAGGCAGCTGGGACCATAGTCACCAAGAAAACAATTGGTAACACACTACGCCGTGAAGGACTTGATGACAGCTTTGCACACTCTTGGCATTCTCTCAACCAGCTTCACCTGGAATGCTTTTCCAACAGTCTTGAAGGAGTTCCCACATATGCTTAGCACTTATTTGCTGCTTTTCACACCTGTTAATTTAAATGCATTCCAGGTGACTACCTCATGAAGCTGGTTGAGAGAATGCCAAGAGTGTGCAAAGCTGTCATGAAGGCAAAGGGTGGCTATTTGAAGAATCTCAAATATAAAATATATTTTGATTTGTTTAACACTTTTTTGGTTACTACATGATTCCATATGCGTTATTTCATAGTTTTGACGTCTTCACTATTATTCTACAATGTAAAAAATAGTAAAAATAAAGAAAAACCCTTGAATGAGTAGGTGTGTCCAAACATTTGACTGGTAGTGTAAGTATTCAGACCCTTTGCTATAAGACTCGAAAATTGCGCTCCGGTGCATCCTGTTTCCATTGATTGTCCTTGAGACTTTTCTACAACTTGATTGGAGTCCACCTGAGGTAAATTCAATTGATTGGACATGATTAAGAAAGGCACACCTGTCTATATAAGGTCCCACAGTTGACAGTGCATGTCAGAGCAAAAAACAAGCCATGAGGTCGAAGGAATTGTCCGTAGAACTCCAAGACAGGATTGTGTCGAGGCACAAATCTGTGGAAGGGTACCAAAACATTTCTGCAGCATTGAAGGTCTCCAAAAACAGTGGCCTCCATCATTCTTAAATGGAAGAAGTTTGGAACCACCAAGACTCTTATTAAAGCTGGCTGCTCGGCCAAACTGAGCAATCAGGGGAGAAGGGCCTTGGTCAGGGAGGTGACCAAGAACCCGATGATCAGCTCCAGAGTTTCTCTGTGGAGATGGTAGAACCTTCCAGAAGGACAACCATCTCAGCAGCACTCCACCAATCAGGCCTTTATGGTAGAGTGGCCAGATGGAGGCCACTCCTCAGTAAAAGGCACATGACAGCCCGCTTGGAGCTTGCCAAAAGGCTCTCGGACCATGAGAAACAAGATTCTCTGGTCTGATTAAACCAAGATTGAACTCTTTGGCCTGAATGCCAAGTGTCACGTCTGGTGGAAACCTGGCACCATCCCTACGGTGAAGCATGGCGGTGGCAGCATCATGCTGTGGGGATGTTTTTAAGCGGCAGGGACTGGGAGACTATTCAGGATCAGGGGAAAGATGAACAGAGCAAAGTACAGAGAGATCCTTGATGAAAATCTGATCCAGAGCGCTCAGGACCTCAGACTGGGGCGAAGGTTCACCTTCTAACAGGACAACAACACTAAGCACACAGCCAAGACAATGCAGGAGTGGCTTCGGGACAAGTCTCTGAATGTACTTGAGTGGCCCAGCCAGAGACCAGACTTGAACCCGATCTAACATCTCTGGAGAGACCTGAAAATAGCTGTGCAGCGATGCTCCCCATCCAACCTGACAGAGCTTTGAGGATCTGCAGAGAAGAATGGGAGAAACTCCCCAAATACAGGTGTGCCAAGCTTGAAGCGTCATACCCAAGAAGACTCAAGGTTGTAATCACTGCCAAAGGTGCCTCAACAAAGTACTGAGTAAAGGGTCTGAATACTTATGTAAATGTGATATTTCAGTTGTTTATCTTTAATACATTTGCTAAAATTTTGAAAAATCTGTTTTTGCTTCATCATTATGGGGTATTGTGTGTAGATTGATGTGGAAAAAGTAAAGGGGTCTGAATACTTTTGGAATGCACATCAGATAGTTGCCTCATCAGCATGGCTAATAATATCGACATTGACCCAGTTTCCAGAGTGGTGCATCTCTAGTGTTGATGTGTATCTCATGTCGCTCATCCTCTCATGTTGTTTCCCCTCAGCCACCATCGAGGGCGGTCCCCAGATGACCATGTCGGGGCTGTTCAAACACATTGTGAAGACTGAGGGTGCATTCGGACTCTACAGAGGCCTGGCCCCCAACTTCATGAAAGTCATTCCAGCGGTCAGCATCAGCTATGTGGTCTACGAGAACCTCAAGATTAGCCTGGGGGTGGTGTCACGTTGAGGACCAGGGGGAGAGTGAGAGAGCACTTCCCCTTAAGGCTAAATGGGTATTTTTTGCTTTGCCAAGCAACGGAGTGGTTGACTCTGAAAAAAGGGAGGAATCTCAGCAGACTGAGAGCTGGGGTTGTTGGAGAACATCTCATTCTGTAAATGTTATGAAGACCGGTGGGGAGAGGTAGATGGAGGGAGGAGAGAGATGCTACAACACTAAGGACAAAAAAGCGATGGACAGATGGGAATGGACACTGTGACTGGGAGAGAGAAGAAGGGAGAGATGGAGATCATCTCTCATAGCTGTAATCTTAAAGTATCATTATTTAAGGAGTTATTTTGTTATCAATCCAGAGGCACTTCACCTTGAGTCCACTGTTGGATTTTTATTATCAAATTTGAAGCCCCAGGTTAACTGAAAAGCAATCTCTTCACTGGAACTCCAGTATTATCCAACCTGCTTGAAGTTTGTTAACAAAAATGTATTTAGGGAGCAAAAATCTGCTTTTGTTTAAATGTTGCACTGTGGCGGCTGCTGTTAAGTTTGTGGGGACTGGGGAGTGACAAAAGCAACTAGGGGAGCAGGTATCAAGTAAGTGTTTGACCCTTCACTCAATAGTACTATCCTATAGGTGGCAGTATTAGTCAACCTATATGGCTTGTGAAAGAAGACCAAAGTCGAATTCAAGACAAAGGGCTTTTCTGATTGTCATCTAAAGTTGTCCTATGTAATATGTATCCATCCGCCTTAATGCAGCACTCCTTAAAATGTAAGAGGCTGCAACTATTAGGGCATTAGCTGTTATGAATTTGTCTGGAGGGATCAAAACCTCAACTCAACATTTTGATTTATCTGGTTAATTCCTTTATTTTAGGCCCCATTCAAAAGTAATCCAAAACATGTTTTTCCCTTTTTCTCATTGTATAACTTGATGACAATGTTAAACATCTGATTTGAACAGAAAAGCTGATGCAGGTTGGATTCCGATAGTGTCTTATTGTCTACTTAGTCTTAAAACGGCTGGTAAGAAGTGTGTATGTCTTGATGCTAATTCATTTTTTGTATTGTAACCAGATATTTATTTAAATGTGGTCCAAGACAGGCAGCGCTCAAATAATAGATACTGTTAGCAGATGTTTAGTTACAATACTATAACATATTCATAAACTGTTAATATATTGTTTTCCAAGATACGATGTAACACATAATGATTACCTACCTACTGATCAAGGTTTGAGGTGTTACGCTGTCACTTCCTGTTTAACATTTCGGACAGGAAGTCCTGATTTGACATGGTTCCTCCGCACCTTCTCTGCATGTGATGTCTACGGTCTGTAAATACGTGAATTTCCGAAGTGTAGGGTATTAAGTAAGAGCGTGAGGGCGCGGCGGCGTAGTGCGGCCTTAGTTAAAGTGCATTGCACTTGTAAACAACATCAGCAAGTGTGGGAGTGCTCAGTCCCCAATACGCAGAGTGGAGAAACATTTCTGCAATGGGACAGGGCAATGGTCTGTGTGAATGAGGACCTTGCAGTACGGGAATGTGTTCTAGTCTCTTGTTCTGCTCCATTACATTTCAACTGCAATGATGAGCAAACGGTACCACCAAGCTTCCTCTGGCTGCACTTAAACAAAAAAGTAGATGTGTAGGCGCCGGCAGTTAACAACACGTAATGCACTTTAAGGTAATCTGTATTAACTTTAACCAGACTTTAATATTTTTTATTATTAAAAAAAGAATAAAGCAGTTTGACTGAAATCAAATTATGGATTGTTAGCATTGCATTATGACGTCCTTTTTTCAATCATCAATTTGACGGATATGATTAATAATATTAAGTGTTATATGGAGCGTGAATGGAGGCTGATATGTTATTTGTTGTATGGCTTAATGTCTCAAGCTGTTTCTCCTGTATGCTGAAGGCCGTTTTTTGTTTTCATCTGAATATGTGAAAGAAATATATTTACAGTTCCAATTTGAGACTTGGTTATCCCTCGCAAATATTCAAATGCAAGACTTAAGTGTTCTGGCAGTTGCCTTATTTTACTTCAGATGCATGAATCGACTTTTAGATTAATGTACTCCAATTCCAGAGGATGGAGAGGACAATTTGTCTTATTAAATACTTTTTTCCATCCTTAGGGAGAATTTAGTATTTCTTTAGCCCAAAGGCTGGCAGATGGCGATATTGAGTCATTTCTGGAAGAAACTGGGAAAATGAGGTCTTTCTTTATGAAACACCATTCCCCTCACATATTTCTGGCACTGAAATAGAATGTGTTTGAAATTGATCTCAGGTGCATCCTGTTACCATTGATCATCCTTGATGTTTCTACAACTTGATTGGAGTCCACCTGTGGAAGATTCTATTGATTGGACATGATTTGGAAAGGCACACACCTGTCTATATAAGGTCCCACAGTTGACAGTGCATGTCAGCGCAAAAACCAAGCCATGAGGTCGAAGGAATTGTCCGTAGAGCTCCGAGACAGGATTGTGTCGAGGCACAGATCAGGGGAAGGGTACCAAAAAATGTCTTAAGCATTGAAGGTTCCCAAGAACACAGTGGCCTCCATCATTCTTAAATGGAAGAAGTTTTGACCCACCAAGACGCTTACTAGAGCTGGCAGTCCGGCCAAACTGAGCAATCGGGGGAGAAGGGCCTTGGTCAGGGAGGTGACCAAGAACCCGATGGTTACTCTGACAGAGCTCCAGAGTTTCTCTGTGGAGATGGGAGAACCTTCCAGAAGAACAACCATCTCTGCAGCACTCCACCAATCAGACCTTTTATGGTAGAGTGGCCAGATGGAGGCCACTCCTCAGTAAAAGGCACATGACAGCCCGCTTGGAGCTTGCCAAAAGGCTCTCGGACCATGAGAAACAACATTCTCTGGTCTGATTAAACCAAGATTGAACTCTTTGGCCTGAATGCCAAGTGTCACGTCTGGTGGAAACCTGGCACCATCCCTATGGTGAAGCATGGCGGTGGCAGCATCATGCTGTGGGGATGTTTTTATGCGGCAGGGACTGGGAGACTATTCAGGATCAGGGGAAAGATGAACAGAGCAAAGTACAGAGAGATCCTTGATGAAAATCTGCTCCAGAGCGTTCAGGACCTCAGACTGGGGCGAAGGTTCACCTTCTAACAGGACAACAACACTAAGCACACAGCCAAGACAATGCAGGAGTGGCTTCGGGACAAGTCTCTGAATGTACTTGAGTGGCCCAGCCAGAGCCCAGACTTGAACCCGATCTAACATCTCTGGAGAGACCTGAAAATAGCTGTGCAGCAATGCTCCCCATCCAACCTGACAGAGCTTGAGAGGATCTACAGAGAAGAATGGGAGAAACTCCCCAAATACAGGTGTGCCAAGCTTGTAGCGTCATACCCAAGACAACTCGAGGCTGTATTCGCTTCCAAAGGTGCTTCAACAAAGTACTGAGTAAAGGGTCTGAATACTTATGTAAATGCGATATTTCCGTTTTTTATTTTTAATAAATTAGCAAAAATGTATACAAACCTGTTTTTGCTTTGTCATTATGGGGTATTGTGTGTAGATTGAAAGAAAAAAACAATCCATTTCAGAATAAGGCTGTAACGTAACAAAATGTGCAAAAAGTCAAGGGGTCTGAATACATTCTGAATTCCCTGTATGCATGTATATACGTGTATGTATGTATGTATGTATATATATGTATATGTATGTGTGTGTATATGTGTGTGTGTGTGTGTATATATATATATATATATATATATACTGCTCAAAAAAATTAAGGGAACACTTAAACAACACAATGTAAATGAAAAATTTCACATGCTGTTGTGCAAATGGAATAGACAACAGGTGGAAATTATAGGCAATTAGCAAGACACCCCCAATAAAGGACTGGTTTTGCATGTGGTGACCACAGACCACTTCTCAGTTCCTATGCTTCCTGGCTGATGTTTTGGTCACTTTTGAATGCTGGCGGTGCTTTCACTCTAGTGGTAGCATGAGACGGAGTCTACAACCCACACAAGTGGCTCAGGTAGTGCAGCTCATCCAGGATGGCACATCAATGCGAGCTGTGGCAAGAAGGTTTGCTGTGTCTGTCAGCGTAGTGTCCAGAGCATGGAGGCGCTACCAGGAGACAGGCCAGTACATCAGGAGACGTGGAGGAGGCCGTAGGAGGGCAACAACCCAGCAGCAGGACTGCTACCTCCGCCTTTGTGCAAGGAGGAGCAGGAGGAGCACTGCCAGAGCCCTGCAAAATGACCTCCAGCAGGCCACAAATGTGCATGTGTCTGCTCAAACGGTCAGAAACAGACTCCATGAGGGTGGTATGAGGGCCCGATGTCCACAGGTGGGGGTTGTGCTTACAGCCCAACACTGTGCAGGACGTTTGGCATTTGCCAGAGAACACCAAGATTGGCAAATTCGCCACTGGCGCCCTGTGCTCTTCACAGATGAAAGCAGGTTTACACTGAACACGTGACAGAGTCTGGAGACACCGTGGAGAACGTTCTGCTGCCTGCAACCTCCTCCAGCATGACCGGTTTGGCGGTGGGTCAGTCATGGTGTGGGGTGGCATTTCTTTGGGGGGCCGCGCATCCCTCCATGTGCTCGCCAGAGGTAGCCTGACTGCCATTAGGTACCGAGATGAGATCCTCAGACCCCTTGTGAGACCATATGCTGGTGCGGTTGGCCCTGGGTTCCTCCTAATGCAAGACAATGCTAGACCTCATGTGGCTGGAGTGTGTCAGCAGTTCCTGCAAGAGGAAGGAATTGATGCTATGGACTGGCCTGCCCGTTCCCCAGACCTGAATCCAATTGAGCACATCTGGGACATCATGTCTCGCTCCATCCACCAATGCCACGTTGCGCCACAGACTGTCCAGGAGTTGGCGGATGCTTTAGTCCAGGTCTGGGAGGAGATCCCTCAGGAGACCATCCGCCACCTCATCAGGAGCATGCCCAGGCGTTGTAGGGAGGTCATACAGGCACGTGGAGGCCACACACACTACTGAGCCTCATTTTGACTTGTTAAAAGGACATTACATCAAAGTTGGATCAGCCTGTAGTGTGGTTTTCCACTTTAATTTTGAGGGTGACTCCAAATCCAGACCTCCATGGGTTGATAAATTTGATTTCCATTGATCATTTTTGTGTGATTTTGTTGTCAGCACATTCAACTATGTAAAGAAAAAAGTATTTAATAAGATTATTTCATTCAGATCTAGGATGTGTTATTTTAGTGTTCCCTTTATTTTTTTGAGCAGTGTAGTACATTTGTCATAATTTGGTTGTAATCCAGAGAGGTTAGAAAATGTATCTAGATCCTCTATGAGGCTGTGGAGTGATTCTAGTGTGGATTTTAAATAAAACATGAATCATCAGCATACAATGACACCTTTGTTTTTAAGCCCTGGATTTCTAATCCCCTGATATTATTGTTGGATCTGATTTTAATAGCTAACATCTCGATGGCCACAATAAATAGATATGCCGATAGTGGACAACCTTGTTTTACTCCTCTTGACAGTTTAAAACTTTCGAAGAAATAGCCATTATTTACTATCTTACACCTAGGGTTACTGTAACCGGTGTGAAATGGCTAGCTAGTTAGCGGTGCGCGCTAGTAGCGTTTCAATCGGTGACGTCACTCGCTCTGAGACCTTGAAGTAGTTGTTTCCCTTGCTCTGCAAGGGCCGCGGCTTTTGTGGAGCGACGGGTAACGGTGCTTCGAGGGTGACTGTTGTCGATGTGTGCAGAGGGTCCCAGGAGAGGGACGGAAGCAAGACTGTTACATTACTATACATGATTTTGACCCATTTTATAAGACATTCACACAAAATTGAAATGCTCCAGGCATTTATATATAAACCCCAGTCGTACTTTATCAAATGCCTTTTCGAAGTCTGCTATGAATAGGTGCCCTTCTTTGCGAGGCATTGGAAAACCTCCCTGGTCTTTGTGGTTGAATCTGTGTTTTGAAATTCACTGCTCAACTGAGGGACCTTACAGCTAATTGTATGTGTGGGGTACAGAGATAAGGTAGGCATTTAAAAATCATGTTAAACGCTATTATTGCACACAGTGAGTCCAAGTGACTTAAGCAAATTTTTACTCCTGAACTTATTTAGGCTTACCATAACAAAGTTGAATACTTATTGACTCAGGACATTTCAGCTTTTTCTTTTTACAATTTCGAAAAACATAATTCAACTTTGACATTATGGGGTGTTTGTGTGTGTGTAGGCCAGTAACAAAAACATTTTTTTAAATCAATTTTATATTCGGCTGTAACACAACAAAATGTGGAAAAAGTAAATACTTTCTGAAGGCACTGTATATCATTTTCATAGTCACGGCATGCTTTGTGTAAGAGCTATTGAAGACTGAAAGCAAAAATATATAAATATAATACCCCCATTTTTCTCTATCCTCCCCTGATTCAGAATATATCATTTTCATAGTCATGGATGCTTTTTGTAAGCGCTATTGAAGATTGAAATCTTATTATAAAAAATGTAATAAGTGTGGATTTTTCTCCATCCACCTCTGATTAAGAATATACCATCTTCATAGTCATGGCATGCTTGGTTCAATAGCTATTGACAGAGAACTGACTATCCAATATAAAATAAATGTTACCTCTGTAGTCAATGGTTCATGCTACTGTTGTGAATCAGACATGTGTTTTCTCGACCTGTAACCTGTGTACTCTCGATCTATTCTCTAACGTTACTTCTCATGCCATAACACAGCTCAATCACCAATTACAATGTCCCTTTCTTGAAATATCCAGTGCTAAAAAGCATGAAGTAGTAGTTACAGCATTCTTTGTGATTTGGCCGGTGGGTGACGGGGAGTCAGAAGTGTGGTCATATGATTGTGTTTCCCCTAGCCTTTAGGTGGGGTGAGTTGTTCGTCTATTTTCTCATTGGACAGAAACTGGTGCTGCATGCAAACACATTGCCTTATATTGGCCAGGTTGTTGCAATTGCTCTCAAATGAACCGCTGCCTACTTGCCACCCTCCATTTAGGGCTGTTACGGTGACGGTATTACCGCCACACCGGCGGTCACGAGTCATGAAGGCAGTCAAATTCCAGGTGGCCATTTAGTCACAGTATTTAGGCTTCTCCAAGCTCTGATGCTGCTGATGGTCATTAGTAGCCTACCAAACTTGCTAACTGCCTGGTACTCAGCACTCTATTGTCCCTCTAATCACTCTGACATCAATGGAAATGTAATCGAAAATCTAATCAAACACTTCATTAGAGCCCATGAGCGCATGTTGCGCAACATTTCTATAGGCTATGCAATTGTGTGAGAACAGCGTGAGGGCCTCTATTAAAAAGAGTAGGATCCCATCAACTTTCTATAGGCTAGGCCTACTATATTTATTTCTCAACTTTCCTAATATTAAGCACATTGCTTCTCTACAGCGGTCTACCATTGAAGACTACATGTCATGCTATTTGTATTCAATATGACCGGCCGTTCGTTCAAGCACCACCACGCTACCGCGAGTCACAACCTCTCAAACAGTGCAAGAGTTGATGCCTTCACACAGCACACGCGAGCTGTCCAGCGCAAAAAGAAGCGCCCATCAATCTACTCACTGAACTTATTTTAGGAAAAGTGATTTACAAAAGTAAACCTTCAATAGTGAACATACTAGCAATATGCTGGCTACTGTTGATAGTCTGTAAAAAGAAAGCTACAAAAAGACTCCTAGCATTAGTCTTGGCTAGCCTACTGTAGCCATGTCTATCTCTTTTGGAACGTTTGTCTTAAAAGGGGCAGCGTGTGGTGGCACACAGGCTATTTACTGTCCTTTGATTGACGAACAGCAAGCCTGACTATTTTATAAAAGATGTCGAACTGACTGAATAAAGTTGATCTCATATCCTTGCCATTCATAAATCATACAACGTAGTTATATGTCCATGGTATCGCATCCGGACAAGTAAAACTAAAGATCTTGTTTGTGTTTATCAGGACTTGCCAGACAGTGACATTAAAGTGAGTGACTCGTCAGTAGCCTACCAAATTGCATTGGTAAGAGAGCTGTTCATTTGGCTCCCTAATTTGCTTACTGGTAGCCTTTTTGGCTATTATCTGCATATAAATTATGAAAACATTCGATGAAGATGGTGAATTGTCCTCAGTGCAGGAAAAATAGGTAGACTGGTCCAAAATATGATAAAATAAAACATTTTTTAATACATTTTTTTTTTTAAGCTAATGGTACTTATATGGTATTTTCAAAGATATTGATATAGGTCTACTGATTTAATCAGTGTTGCCAATGAAATACTCAACTGCTGCTTTCTGTGTAGCAATGTGTAGCATCTGCTTCATTGTTCAATCATACCTGTATTGCAGATAGCTAAGAAAATACATCTTAAAAGGAAGCTTGAAGCCTGTGGAAGTCAGCAGACTCTTACAGGATTATTTAAAGGCCCAGTGCAGTTAAATCATATTGCACAACAGCTGAGGAAACTAACACTGTAAAAGTGTGATTTTTTTTTTTTAGCATTGTTATTTCCTGATAGATGCCACCAAAATAGAGCTTGTTCAGCAAAAAAAAAATCTAAACACCCCCTAGCCCGGGGGAGCCTGGCTGGCTACTTTTTCGATTTCACTGGCTACTCCATGTACTTGTGGAAAAAACTGATCTGCCATCTAAAACATACTATTAGCAGAAGGAACGAGTTATGGTAAGGTTGTTGTTGCAAGAAATAAGACAAATGGGTCACTAAATAGGCTTTTTCAGCAATTGTATCCCAACTTTCTGTCCGGTCACACTGCTTTTGTGTCTCTGTCAAAGCAGATGACACCACATCACCTGACCCGTGTCGCTGGTATGAGGCTATGTCCCCGTGGTCTGGGCACATCTGTGCCCTGAAGAAACAGCTCACCATGGAGACCAAGGTGAAGCAGGGGGCTGAGAACATCATCCAGACCTATGCCAGCAGCTCCGTCAAGGTTTGGAACGCACACACTCCTTTTTAAAGTCCTCCTTGAATTATATTGGCTCTGTTAAAGAGCAGAATACATCATGCTGTCTAATGTAGTGGCTTGTATATTAAACACAGGGCTCCCATTTTATTTTGTCATGTCAGGCTCACTGGAGAATTTCCATTGTGAGAATGTTCAGTAATGTGGCGCCAAGGCTCGCTGCTGAACTCTGCACTCTGCAGCAAGTGATTTATGCCTCCACTGCTGCCTGTGTGTGATTTAAACTCAGCATTTATATGGATTTCCCACCAGACACACACACTCAGTCACACACAACTGTGTTCTCTCACACACATACTCTCTCACTCAAACATAGACATATACTCACACAAACACCCTTTTTCTGAGCCGGACTGAGTTTCTGTGTGGACTTCTCTCCCAACATGGCGACAGCAGCAGACCATGTGACTCTGGGAACAGAGAGAGGGAGAAAGGCAAGGTCCGGACGGTGGAGAAGGAGAGATGAGTAGACTGAAGGAGGATGCTCTCAGCATGCTGTTGAGAGGGGGAGAGAGAGACTCTACCAACCTGACTCTCTCTCACGGGTATAAATCCGACCTAGGCTACTTTATGAATGTGATTTGAAATCTATGACACTTGACTGTATGAAGAGGTCACAGAGGGCTAATGTATAGGTGAAGGCTTTTGTTCCAGCCAAGCAGCCAGTAACACACCGAAGGCCTCATTTATAACATTAGCTGCCTGAAATGAAATTTTCCACAAGTACATAGTAGCCAGGCAAATAGAAAAAGTAGCCAGCCAGGCCGCCCCGGAATGTTTTTGCCGAAGGAGCTCTATTTTTGTGTCCTCTGGTACATTCTAATGCCTTGATTCCATCTGAAATGCACAGCGAAATTATTGAATACTTTATCGAGTTTACCTCCCAGATTGGAAACATTTGTTGTGGTATTGTGTAGAAAGACATGACTTTAAAAAATGTACTACTGAAAATGTATGAATTCAGTGTATTGTTAGTTGTTTTGGATATTGTCTAGGCCTATATGATCAGGATTATTTTCTAAGTAAGCAAATATTAAACCTTTTAACATTCAACCTGTCTTCTCTTGAGATTAGTCTAATTTACAGTTTTACTGCAATATATACACTACCTACCGGTCAAAAGTTTTAGAACAGCTACTCATTCAAGGGTTTTTCTTCATTTTTACTATTTTCTACATTGTAGAATAATAGTGAAGACATCAAAACTATGGAATAACACATATGGAATCATGTAGTAACCAAAAAAGTGTTAAACAAATCAAAATATGTTATATTTGAGATTCTTCAAATAGCCACCCTTTGCCTTGATGACAGCTTTGCACACTCTTGGCATTCTCTCAACCAGCTTCATGAGGTAGTCACCTGGAATGCATTTCAATTAACAGGTGCCTTCTTAAGTTAATTTGTGGAATTTCTTTCCTTCTTAATGTGTTTGAGCCAATCAGTTGTGTTGTGACAAGGTAAGGGGGGTATACAGAAGATAGCCCTATTTGGTAAAAGACCAAGTCCATATTATGGCAAGAACAGCTCAAATAAGCAAAGAGAAACGACAGTCCATCATTACTTTAAGACATGAAGGTCAGTCAATACAGAACACTTCAAGAACTTTGAAAGTTTCTTCAAGTGCAGTCGCAAAAACCATCAAGCACTATGATGAAACTGGCTCTCAAGAGGACCGCCACAGGAATGGAAGACCCAGAGTTACCTCTGCTGCAGAAGATAAGTTCATTAGAGTTACCAGCCTCAGAAATTGCAGCCCAAATAAATGCTTCACAGAGTTCAAGTCACAGACACATCTCAACATCAACTGTTCAGAGGAGACTGTGTGAATCAGGCCTTCATGGTCGAATTACTGCAAAGACACCACTACTAAAGGACACAAATAATAAGAAGAGACTTGCTTGGGCCAAGAAAAACAAGCAATGGACATTAGACCGGTGGAAATTAGGTCTGGAGTCCAAATTGGAGATTTTTGGTTCCAACCGCCGTGTCTTTGTGAGACTTTTGTGTGTCTTTGGGATGATCTCTGCATGTGTATTTCCCACCGTAAAGCGTGGAGGAGGAGGTGTTATGGTGTGGGGGTGCTTTGCTGGTGACACTGTCTGTGATTTATTTATAATTCAAGGCACACTTAACCAGCATGGCTACCACAGCATTCTGCAGCAATACGCCATCCCATCTGGTTTGGGCTTAGTGGGACTGTAATTTGTTTTTCAACAGGACAATGACCCAACACACCTCCAGGCTGTGTAAGGGCTATTTTACCAAGAAGGAGAATGATGGAGTGCTGCATCAGATGACCTGGCCTCCACAATCCCCCGACCTCAACCAAATTGAGATGGTTTGGGATGAGTCGGACAGCAGAGTGAAGGAAAAGCAGCCAACAAGTGCTCAGCATATGTGGGAACTCCTTCAAGACTGTTGGAAAAGCATTCCAGGTGAAGCTGGTTGAGAGAATACCAAGAGTGTGCAAAGCTGTCATCAAGCTAAAGGGTGGCTATTTGAAGAATCTCAAATGTAAAATATATTTTGATTTGTTTAACACTTTTTGGTTACTACATGATTCCATATGTGTTATTTCATAATTTTGATGTCTTCACTATTATTCTACAATGTAGAAAATAGTAAAAATAAAGAAAAACCCGAATGAGTAGGTGTTCTAAAACTTTTGACCGGTGGTGTTAATTGCCACAATTATGTTCATTAAATTATGTATTTTATGAAAACAGAAAAATTAAGTAAATAGCCCACATTATCTTGAAAAATAAGTTAAAGGTTTTGTTTTTCCAGGTTTCTGGGGGGGTTTTTCGCTCTCAACATTACACTTGTTTAAATAAAAAAATTATAAAAAATCCCAACAATGCTTAAACCACATCAGAAGTCCACTTTTGAGGTCTGGGAAAGAGCTGAGAAATTTAGATTTTTTGGGTATAGTTACCCTTTAATTCAAGTGTGCACCTAGCAAGAGGCTGTTTAGCTGTGTTTTTGTAGCACACGTGATGGTAGATTCAAAACAAATACCCACAGGATTGATGAAAATAGTCATGATATTGTTCTGCCATCTAAGCAGAGGCTACTTTGTAGTTAAAGATGCATTATGCAGAAATCGCGCCGCCATGTCTTGGTTGCAATATTTTGAATAGTTTGCCTGATTTCTGTTTATATGACAAAACAAGCAAGATAATCATTCTACCATCTAAACCACTGTGAAATCTTTTCCATAACCAAAAATGTTGTTTTTAGTTGATTCCCTAGTAAGGTCAATACATTTGTGTATTGTTGAATTCCGTTTTAATGCCTGGATTCTGAGAGGGCCCTAATTATCATATTTGGACCCGAATGAGGCTCTCCACTACCTATTGTTCCTGCAGTTATGATTCACAGTCTTCATTAAATGTTTTCATAATTTATTTGCAGATCATCGCCAAAAATCCTAGGCCTACCAGTAGCCTATTCAAATTAGGCAGCCAAATGAACGGCTCTCTCACTGATGCGATTCGGTAGGTTACACTGACTGATGAGACGAGAGTCACTCACTTTAGCGTCACTGTCTGGCAAGCCCCAACATCCTAGGAAAGGAAACCTAGGAAATCCTTTGGTTTACTTATCCCGGTGCGATACCATGGACATATACTTAGTGGTCAGTTTATTAGTTACACCACCCCGTTCACGAAAATGGTTCGCTCCTACAGACAGTGAGTCACGTGGCTGTGGCTTGCTATATAAAGCAGGCAGACCGGCATCAAGGCATTCAGTTACTGTTCGATTTGAACGTTAGAATGGGAAAAGCGACTTTGAGCATGGTACGATCATCGGTGCCAGGCGCACTGGTTCCAGTATCTCAGAAACGGCCGGCATCCTTGGCTTTCACGCGCGACAGTGTTTATGGAAAATAACAAAAAAAGAAATAGAAGGCAAATAAAATATAAAAAGGCAATTAACGGCGCAGTACAACAGTGGTGTGCAGAATGGCATCTCGGAACGCACAAATCGTCAGTCCTTGTCACGGATGGGCTATTGCAGCAGACGACCACTCCGGGTTCCACTCCTATCAGCTAAAAACAAGAAGAAGCGTCTCCAGTGGGTGCGCGATCACATTGCCTGGTCCGACAAATCCCGGTTCCTGTTGCATCATGATGGCAGAGTCAGGATTTGACATAAGCAGAGTCCATGGCCCCATACTGCCTGGTGTCATTGGTACAGGTTGGTGGTGTAATGGTGTGGGGAATGTTTTCCTGGCATACGTTAGGTCCCTTGATACCAATTGAGCAATGTTTAAACTCCACACCTTGTAGAATCCATGCCCCAAAGAATTCAGGCTGTTCTGGAGGCAAATATCCCATGTTTCATGAGCTGAAATAAGAGATTTTCCATACACACAAAAAGCTTATTTCTCTCAGATTTTGTGCACAAATTTGTTTGCATCCCTGTTAGTAAGCATTCCTCCTTTGTCAAGATAATCCATCCACCTGACAGGTGTGGCATATCAAGAAGCTGATTTAAACTGCATGATCATTACACAGGTGCACCTTGTGCTGGAGACAAAAGGCCACTCTAAAATGTGCAGTTTTGTCACACAACACAATGCCACAGATGTATCAAGTTTTGAGGGAGCGTGCAGTTGTCAAGTTGACTGCAGGAATGTCCTCCAGAGCTCTTGCCAGATAATGTAATGTTAATTTCTCTACCATAAGCCGCCTTCGTTGTTTTAGAGAATTTGGCAGTACGTCCAACTGGCCTCACAACTGCAGATCACGTGTAACCACGCCAGCACAGGTTCTCCACATCCGGCTTCTTCACCTGTGGGATCGTCTGAGACCAGCCAACCGGACAGCTGATGAAACTGTGGGTTGGCACAACTTTTTAAAGTATCGACATACTAATCGGCCAAAATATTGCGATATGTAACTGTTAATTTTTTTTGTTAGTTTTATCACTAGTTATTACACCACTTCCTTTCCCCATTCATGACCATGGAAGGATTGGATAGGTTCCACCACCTTGCTTTGACTTTGGAAGTCCTACTAGAAAGTGTATGCCCTCAGGCCTGGAGGGAAGCAAAAGTTATTCCCCTACCTAAGAATAGTAAAGCCCCCTTAACTGGCTCAAATAGCCGACTAATCAGCCTGTTATCAACCCTTAGTAAACTTTTGTAAAAAATGGTGTTTGACCAGATAAAATGCTATTTTACAGTAAACAAATTGACAGTCTTTCAGCACGCTTATAGCGAAGGACATTCAACAAGCACAGCACTTACACAAATGTCTGATGATTGGCTGAGAGAAATTGATGATAAAATGTTTGTGGGGGCTGTTTTGTTAGACTTCAGTGCAGCTTTTGACATTATCGATCATAGTCTGTTGCTGGAAAAACTTGTGTTATGGTTTTACACCCCCTGATATATTGTGGATAAAGAATTACCTGTCTAACAGAACACAGAGGGTGTTCTTTAATGGAAGCCTCTCCAATAAAATCCAGGTAGAATCAGGAATTCCCCAGGGCAGCTGTCTAGGCCCCTTTCTTTTTTCAATCTTTACTAACGACATGAGTAAAGCCAGTGTGTCTATGTATGCGGATGACTCAACACTTTACACTTCAGCTACCACAGCGACTGAAATGACAGCAACACTTAACAAAGAGCTGCAGTTAGTTTCAGAATGGGTGGCAATGAATAAGTTAGTCCAAAATATTTCAAAAACTAAAAGCATTTTATTTGGGACAAGTCATTTACTAAAACGTAAACCTCAACTAAATCTTGTAATGAATAATGTGGAAATTGAGCAAGTTGAGGAGACTAAATTGCTTGGAGTAACCCTGGATTGTAAACTGTCATGGTCAAAACATATTGATACAACAGTAGCTAGGATGGGGAGAAGTCTGTCTATAATGAAGCGCTGCTCTGCATTCTTAACAGCACTATCAACGAGGCAGGTCCTACAGGCCCTAGTTTTGTCACACCTGGCCTACTGTTCAGTCGTGTGGTCAGGTACCACAAAGAGGGACTTAGGAAAATTGCAATTGGCTCAGAACAGGGCCGCACGGCTGGCCCTTGGATGTACACAGAGAGCTAACATTAATAATATGCATGTCAATCTCTCCTGGCTCAAAGTGGAGGAGAGTGACTTAATCACTACTTGTATTTGTGAGAGGTATTGACATGTTGAATGAACTGAGCTGTCTGTTTGAACAACTGGCACGCAGCTCGTACAAGACATACCACCAGAGGTCTCTTCAAAGTCCCCAAGTCAAGAACAGACTATGGGAGGCGCACAGTACTACATAGAGCCATGACTACATGGAACTCTATTCCACATCAAGTAACTCATGCCAGCAGTAAAATTAGATTTAAAAAACAGATAAAAATACACCTTATGGAACAGCGGGGACTGTGAAGCAACACAAACATAGACACATGCATACAAACACACGATAACATATGCACTATACACACTTGTACACATGGATTTTGTGTTATAGATATGTGGTAGTAGAGTAGAGGCCTGAGGGCACACACTTAATATGTTGTAAAATCTGTTATGGGGATCCATAATTAATAGAAATACAAATGCAAATGGTGCTTGTAAAGGCTTGCCTGACGATTCAAACTGAATTCTCCCGCTACTCTATGTTCGCTACATACTTCAGTAGGACTGCCATCGTTGAAGTCGTTTGTGGTGACGTCAAAATGAGGGGTGTTGTACAAAAGTCATCAGCGATTTGGATAATCTCTAACCAATCAGAGTATCAAAGCCAATGACGAATTTTCCAAACGCCACTTTACCCACGTGTGTTGTGGCTCTGGCACAACCCATCAGTTTCTGGGACCAATCAGAATAGTTAGAATGTGTTTGCGTTCTAGAAATGGGCAGGGTTACTCAGATCCAGAATCACTGCGGAGGGCGCGGCTTAGCGTTCGGCTGGAGCAAGGAGTTTGGGTAGCCAGGCAATGTAAAGGCTTACCGAGCTGTCAATTAAAACTTTAGGCAGAGCTCTCAAGAGAGCTTGATCCCAATTCGTCATGCTGTCTTGGACTTTGACTGAATGCAGGCCAGGGAAGTGGTGATGGGTGCATGCTATCACCATGCATGTCAATGAATAAGGGCACAAAGACTGATGTAAGTGTCCAATGCTGCTAAGGGCTACTTTATCATGGACTAAAGGAGGGAGGTACACGACATGGTTGACTTGTGCACTAGATGCGTATCATTGACGTAGAACTCTGTGTCTGGTCTACCCTCCCCAGGACCGTAAGATGCTGTCCACGGCCCAGCAGATGCTTCAGGACAGCTGCACCAAGATTGAGCTGCTCCGCATGCAGATTGTCAAAGTCACTCACGCCAGAGAGGGGGAGCGGGAGGCCACAGAGACAGATGGTGAGATACACCCGACCTGTGTGTGTGAGCGAGCTTGTTTGTCCTTTGCCATGTCATTGTTTTGGTTGTATGTGTGTGACTGTGATTAGTGTTTTTCCCAGTTCTTGTTTGCTTTCCCGGTGCCATTTCTATGTGTTTGTTCATTGGTCCCTGCAGGCCGACCCTCTGAGACGATCAGTCCTCTGGAGCTACGTGTGGCTGAGCGCCGGCACCACCTGAAGATCGAGGCTGCCATGGCAGAGGGGGCCAGGAACGTGGTCAAGCACCTGTGGTGGGGCGCAAGGTGCAGGACCGCCGGGCACTGGCAGAGGTTGGTGGGCACCAGGATATAAGTGAGGTCTTTTAGAGGAGATCTCGTTAATGGAGGTCTGATTATTTTTGGGTTGCAGGTTAAGACACCTAGTTAATGTTTTCCTGTCTGGAAACATTCGTTATGAGTACCTGGTGGGTCACAAAGACATTTCTAAAAGTGTGTGTGTGCTCATGTACAGTGAGCTCCATAATTAATTGGACAGTGACAATTTTTTTGTTATTTTGGTTCTGTACTCTAGCACTTTGAGTTTGAAAGGATACAATGACAATGAGGGTGAAGTGCAGACTGTCAGCTTTAATTTGAGGGTATTTTCATACATGTTGGATGAACCGTTTAGAAATTATAGAAGCTTTTGTACATGGTCCCCCCCATTTTCGGGCATCAAAAGACATTGGACAGTTTAACATAATGTAGAATAAAGTAATCATTGTTAATATTTGGTCGCATATCCTTTGCATGCAATGACTGCTTGAAGTCTGCGATGCATCGACATCACCAGACGCTGGGTATCTTCCCTGGTGATGCTCTGCCATGCCTGTACTGCAGCCATCTTCAGTTCCTGCTTGTTTCGGGGACTTATTGCCTTCAGTCTCCTCTTCAGCATGTAAAATGCATGTTCAATTGGATTCAGATCCGGTGATTGACTCGGCCAGTCAAGGATTTTCCACTTTTTGGCCATCAAAAACCCCTTCGTTGCTCTAGCAGTATGTTTAGGGTCATTGTCTTGTTGCATGATGAAGTGCCGTCCAATGAGTTTGGAGGCATTTGGTTTTATCTGAGCAGATAAAATATTTCTGTAGACTTCAGAATTCATTGTTCTACTTCTGTCTGCAGTCACATCATCGATGAAGACAAGTGAGCCTGTTCCACTGGCAGCATACAGGCCCAAGCCATAACACCCCCTCCACCATGTTTCACGGATGAGGTGGTATGCTTTGGATCATGGGCATTTCTTATTTTTCTCCACACTTTCCGCTTTCCATCACTCTGGTACATGTTAATCTTTGTCTCATCTGTCCACAATACTTTTTTCCAGAACTCTTGGGGCTCTTTTTAGGTGCTTTTTAGCAAACTGTAATCTCGCCTTTCTGTTCTTCAGGCTTATAAGTGGTTTGCATCTTGTAGTGTACCCTCTGTAGTCCTGCTGATGTAGTCTTCTACGTATGGTAGACTTTGACACATCTACACCTGCATCCAGGAGAGTGTTTTTGATCTGTTGGGCTGTTGTCAGGGGGGTTTTCTTCACCATAGAGAGTATTCTCCGGTCATCCACTACAGTGGTCTTCCTCGGTCTACCGGGTCTTTTGACATAATTGAGTTCACCGGTTTTTTTTTTCTTGATAATAATGAACCAAACTGTTGACTTGGGCATGGCCAGGGTTTTTGCAATGTTCCTGATTGATTGATTTTCATTTCTGAGCCTTATGACGGCCAGCTCCATTTGCATCGACACTGCTGTCTTCCTCATGTTGTCACACCCCAACAACAACCTCCAAAGGCAATAGCAAAGTCTAGGATCAATACTATTCATCAACAGCTCTCCTGCATTCACTAACGACACAAATGAATACACCTGCCTAACGACACACATCTGTGAAGCCAATTTATCAAATACTTGTAGTACCTTAAAATGGGGGGACCATGTACAAAAGGTGCTGTCATTTCTAAACGGTTCATCTGATATGTATGAAAGTACCCTCAAATTAAAGCTGACAGTCTGCACTTCACCCTCATTGTCATTGTATCCTTTCAAACTCAAAGTGCTAGAGTACAGAACCAAATTAACAAACAAATGGTCACTGTCCAATGAATTATGGAGCTCACTGTATGTGACTGAGTGTTCTCCAGGCCCAGGCCAGGCTGCAGGAGTCATGCCAGAAGCTGGACCTGCTACGTCTGCCTCTGGAGCGCCGTCTAACCGAGCTGCCCGGGGACCACCCTAAGTGGGCTGCTATCAAGGAGAAGCTCACCCTGGGTGCCGCCTCGCCCTCCCTGGGCCTGCAGCTGGAGCGTCTCAACTCCACCTACTCTTCCTGCTCCTCATCCTCCTCCTTCAAACCTGCCACTATCACAGGTTTCCTGTTTTGGTTAACTATTCAAAATGTGTGTGTGATACTTTGTTTGGTCTCATTGTTTTCTTTTTGTATGGTACAATTTGATATTTTGTTCTATTATATATTGATGTGACCCTGAAGGAAAATACTCAAATGAAAAGACAAAAATGTGTGTATGCTCTTGTATAAACTGGAGCAAAGGACATGGTGTTTTAATGACCTTCTCAGTGCAGTAAGCCTGCTCCTGAAGTAATATTCCCTGTATGTTGTCTGTCCCCTCTCCAGGGCGGTTGGAGGTGCAACTGATGGGCTGCCAGGACCTGCAGGAGTCGGTGCTGGGCCACTGCCGTATGGCAAGCATCACGTCCACCCCAGGCAGCCCCTCTGAGGCCAAGTCCCTGAACATGAGGGCCGGTCTCTCCGGGCGAAGAACCAACGGAAAAACCACCAAGACCGAAGAACTCTCCAGTCTACACTAGTCTTATGCAACATTTAAAAAAACATTTTCATTACTCCCATAAACATACAAATCATGGACATTTTGGGATTAGAGCCATACAATCATACGACCCAGTATCTTAGTATCCCAGTGCATTTGGAAACTATTCAGACCCCTTTGCTTTTTCCACATCTGGTTACATTACAGCCTTATTCTAAAATTGATAAAATAAATAAAATATCCTCATCAATACCCCGTAATGACAACGTGAAAGCAGGTTTTTATAGATTTTTGCAAATCTATAAAAAATTTAAAACTGAAATACCTTATTTACGTAAGTATTCAGACCGTTTGCTATGAGACTCGAAATTGAGCTCATGTGCATCCAGTTTCCATTGATCATCCTTGAGATGTTTCTACAACTTGATTGGAGTCCACCTCTGGTACATTCAATTGATTGGACATGATTAGGAAAGGCACACACCTGTCTATAAGGTCCCACAGTTGACAGTGCATGTCAGAGCAAAAACCAAGCCATGAGGTCAAAGGAATTGTCCGTAGAGCTCCGAGACAGGATTGTGTCGAGGCACAGTTCTGGGTAAGGGTACAAAAATGTTTATGCAGCATTGAAGGTCTGCAAGAACACAGTGGCCTTCATCATTCTTAAATGGAAGAAGTTTGGATCACCAAGACTCTTCCTAGAGCTGGCCCGCCCGGCCAAACTGAGCAATCGGGGGAGAAGGGCCTTGGTCAGGGAGGTGACCAAGAACCAGATGGTCACTCTGACAAAGCTCCAGAGTTCGTCTGTGGAGATTGGAGAACCTTCCAGAAGGACAACCATCTCTGCAGCACTCCACCAATCAGGCCTTTATGGTAGAGTAGCCAGACGGAAGCCACATCCTCAGTAAAAGGCACATGACAACCCGCTTGGAGTTTGCCAAAAGGCACCTAATGGATTCAGACCATGAGAAACAAGATTCTCTGGTCTGATGAAACCAATATTGAACTCTTTGGCCTGAATGTCTCTGAATGTCCTTGAGTGGCCCAGCCAGAGCCCAGACTTGAACCTAATCGAACATCTCTGGAGAGACCTGAAAATAGCTGTGCAGCAACGCTCCCCATGCAATCTGACAGCGCTTGAGAGAATCTGCAGAGAAGAATGGGAGAAACTCCCCAAATACAGGTGTGCCAAGCTTGTAGCATCATACCCAAAAAGACTCGAGGCTGTTATCACTTCTGAAGGTGCTTCAGCACAGTACTGAGTAAAGGGTCTGGAGACTTACAGTTGAAGTCGGAAGTTTACATACACATAGGTTGGAGTCATTAAAAGTTGTTTTTTATCCACTCCACAAATGTCTTGTAAAAAACGATCGTTTTGGCAAGTCGGTTAGGACATCTACTTTGTGCATGACACAAGTAATTTTTCCAACAATTGTTTAAGGACAGATTATTTCACTTATAATTCACTGTATCACAATTCCAGTGGGTCAGAAGTTTACATACACTAAGTTGACTGTGCCTTTTAAACAGCTTGGAAAATTACAGAAAATGATGTAATGGCTTTAGAAGCTTCTGATAGGCTAATTGACATCATTTGAGTCAATTGGAGGTGTACCTGTGGATGTACCTACCTTCAAACTCAGTGCCTCTTTGCTTGACATCATAGGAAAATCAAAAGAAGTCAGCCAAGACCTCAGAAAGAAAATTGTAGACCTCCACAAGTCTGGTTCGTCCTTGGGAGAAATTTCCAAACGCCTGAAGGTACCACGGTCATCTGTTCAAACAATGGTACGCAAGTATAAACACCATGGGACCACGCAGCCGTCATACCGCTCAGGAAGGATACACGTTCTGTCTCCTATAGACAAATGTACTTTGGTGCGAAAAGTGCAAATCAAACCCAGAACAACAGCAAAGGACCTTGTGAAGATGCTGGAGGTAACAGGTACAAAAGTATCTATATCCACAGTAAAATGAGTCCTATATCGACATAACCTGAAAGGCCGCTCAGCAAGGAAGAAGCCACTGCTCCAAAACCGCCATAAAAAAGCCAGACTAAGGTTTGTCACTGCACATGGGGACAAAGATCTTACTTTTTGGAGAAATGTCCTCTGGTCTGATGGAACAAAAATAGAACTGTTTGCCCATAATGACCATCGTTATGTTTGGAGGAAAAAGGGGGACGCTTGCAGGCCGAAGAACACCATCCCAACGTGAAGCACGGAGGTGGCAGCATCATGCTGTGGGGGTGCTTTGCTGCAGGAGGGACTGGTGCACTTCACAAAATAGATGGCATCATGAGGAAAGAAAATTATGTGGATATATTGAAGCAACATCTCAAGACATCAGTCAGGAAGTTAGCTTGGTCGCAAATGGGTCTTCCAAATGGACAATGGCCCCAAGCTTTTTTCCAAAGTTGTGGCAAAATGGCTTAAGGACAACAAAGTCAGGGTATTGGAGTGGCCATCACAAAGCCCTGACCTCAATCCTATAGATAATATGTGGGCAGAACTGAAAAAGCGTGTGCGAGCAAGGAGGCCTACAAACCTGACTCAGTTACACCAGTTCTGTCAGGAGGAAAGGGCCAAAATTCACCCAACTTATTGTGGGAAGGTTGTGGAAGGCTACCCGAAACATTTGACCCAAGTTAAACAATTTAAAGGCAATTCTACCAAATACTAATTGAGTGTATGTAAACTTCTGACCTACTGGGAATGTGATGAAAGAAATAAAAGCTGAAATAAATCATTCTCTCTACAATTATTATGACATTTCACATTCTTATAATAAAGTGGTGATCCTAACTGACCCAAGACAGGGAATTTTTACTAGGATTAAATGTCAGGAATTGTGAAAAACTGAGTTTAAATGTATTTGGCTAAGTTGTATGTAATCTTCCGACATGTAAATGTGATATTTCCGTTTTTTGTTGTTTTGTTTTACATTTGCAATAATTTCTAAAAACCTGTTTTTGCTTTGTCATTATGGGGTATAGTGTGTAGATTGATGAGGGGGGACAAACTATTTTATCAATTTTAGAATAAGGCTGTAACGTAAGAAAATGTGGAAAAAGTCAAGGGGTCTGAATACTTTCTGAATGCACTGTATATGATCTAACAGCCAGTGTGTGTATGTGGAGGTGTACTGACTGATTTATCTGTCCCACTGTATGTTGTCCACAGCGGAGATCAGTGCAGTGCTAAAAGTGGACAACAGGATGGTTGGCCGGACACACTGGAGAGTTCTGAGCAAGGACACCTGGGACCAGAGCTTCAGCATCGAGCTGGAATGGGTCAGTGTTCTGTTTAGCACTAGTAGGAGCAGTTCAAGCATTCTAGTTATTTTCTCAGATAACATCCTAGAGTTGCCATGTTAAATTGTGTAAAAATGCACGGAATTAGCTTTAGATCCCCAGACCCCCCCCCGCCCCCCCCACCCACACACACACACACACACCCCCTCTCCACCCCCAGTTGATCTATCAATGGCACTCGTCTCATCAATGCTTAAATCTTCAGTTGGAAGGCAATTTTTCCCCCCCATATTGATAGTAAGTATTCAAGAGGGGTAGGATTTAAGTGTCTGCTGTTGGAAAGCAGTCTGCTACAGACATGACCATTTCGCACTCACGTGCACGTGCCTGCAGCTTTCCTCCTTAATAATCTCCAGATAGACTACTAATCAGCTTCAGCTGCAACCATCAAGCTCCAGAGTGCTCAGACAGAAACTGTCATCGTGGCCATCCAGAGTCTCTGCTGCTGGGTAGCAGAGAGCAATCACCCATCTCTCACGCCTCCACTCCCACTCTGCAGCTGTAATCCCACTGCTAATCCTTAAACATTTTCCACTAATCTCAATCCTTGCCTCCAAAAGCCTAACATGGGGACATGATTCAGCTCCAAGACTACTTTCAGCTGAGCTGCTGCTCCTAGCGCGAGGGCACACACTACTTTTAGTTCCAAGCTCTCAGCCTCGGTCTTAAAAGGTCACAGCTGAGTCGTGCTGTGCTGTTTTTTTGGATTGTGCTGCTGAAAGCCTCTGGCTGGGGCTATTTCAAGGGAAGCGAGATAAACAGGTTTTTCTTGTAGAGGAAGATAAGGGAAGACCTTGTTGCAATCTGTTAAAGATGGTCCCTTATCCCCGCATATCTTTTTACAGTTCTTCCCCTGACATTCTAAAAACCACTAACGTGTCCAGTCCAGGGAGCTGGAGATTGGGGTGTATTAACGGCACTGGAGGGCCCTGTGCTCAGTCAAATTCCTGCATCAAGGATTTATTGGACAACCAGCGCTACGGCATGTATCTCTACCTGGAGCCCCAGGGCATGCTCTTTGCTGAGGTCAGTAGCGCCCTTAATTTCACAATCAACATTAGACATGTCACAATCACTAATATCACCTTTAGACATTTTAAATATACAATACCAGTCAAAAGTATGGACACACCTACTCATTCAAGGGTTTTTCTTTATTTTTTATTATTTTCTACATTGTAGAATAATATTGAAGACATCAGAACTATGAAATAACACATATGGAATCATGTAGTAACCAGAAAAGTGTTAAACAAATCAAAATATATTTTATATTGGAGATTCTTCAAATAGCCACCCTTTGCCTTGATGACAGCTTTGCACACTCTTGGCATTCTCTCAACCAGCTTCACCTGGAATGCTTTTCCAACAGTCTTGAGGGAGTTTCCACATATGCTAAGCACTTGTTGGCTGCTTTTCCTTCACTCTGCGGTCCGACTCATCCCAAACCATCTAAATTGGGTTGAGGTCGAGGGATTGTGGATGCCAGGTCATCTGATGCAGCACTCCATCACTCTCCTTCTTGGTAAAATAGCCCTTACACAGCCTGGAGGTGTGTTGGGTCATTGTCAAGTTGAAAAACAAATGATAGTCCCACTAAGCCCAAACCAGATGGGATGGCGTATCGCTGCAGAATGCTGTGGTAGCCATGCTGGTTAAGTGTGCCTTGAATTATAAATAAATCACAGACAGTGTCACAAAGACACAGTGGTTGGAACCAAAAATCTCAAATTTGGACTCCAGACCAAATGACAAATTTCCACCGGTCTAATGTCCATTGCTCATGTTTTTTGGTCCAAGCAGGTCTCTTCTTCTAATTGGTGTCCTTTAGTAGTGGTTTCTTTAAAGCAATTCGACCATGAAGTCCTGATTCACGCAGTCTCCTCTGAATAGTTGATGTTGAGATGTGTCTGTGACATGAACTCTGTGAAGCATTTATTTGGGCTGCAATTTCTGAGGCTGGTATCTCTAATAAACGTATCCTTTGCAGCAGAGGTAACTCTGGGTCTTCCATTCCTGTGGCGGTCCTCATGAGAGCCAGTTTCATCGCAGCGCTCATATTTTGTGCACATTTGTTTACATCCCTGTTAGTGAGCATTTCTCCTTTGCCAAGATAATCCAACCACCTGACAGGTATGGCATATCAAGAAGCTGATTAAACAGCATGATCATTACACAGCACCTTGTGCTGGGAACAAAAGGCCACTCTAAAATGTGCAGTTTTGTCAAAATGCCACAGATGTCTCAAGTTTTGCAGGAGCTTGCAATTGGTATACTGACTGCAGGAATGTCCACCAGAGCTGTTGCCAGAGAATTGAATGTTAATTTCTCTAACATAAGCCGCCTCCAACGTTGTTTTAGAGAATTTGGCAATACGTCCAACTGGCACCACAACCGCAGACCACGTGTGGGCGAGCGGTTTGCTGGTGGCGGTGGGGTTATGGTATGGGCAGGTATAAGCTACGGATAACAAACACAATTGCATTTTATCGATGGCAAATTGAATGCACAGCGATGCCGTGACAAGATCCTGAGGCCCATTGTTATGCCACTCATCTGCCACCATCTACTCATGTTTCAGCAGGATAATGCACGTCGTATGTCGCAAGGATCTGTACACAATTCCTGGAAGCTGAAAATGTCCCAGTTTTTCCATGGCCTGCATACTCAGACATATGTCACCCATTGAGCATGTTTGGGATGCTCTGGATCGACAGCGTGTTCCAGTTTCCGCCAATATCCAGCAACTTTGCACAGCCATTGAAGAGAAGTGGGACAACATTCCACCGGCCACAATCAACAGCCTGATCAACTCTAGGCGAAGGGAAATGTGTCGCGCTGCATGAGGCAAATGGTGGTCACACAAGACACTGACTGGTTTTCTGATCCACGCCCAGGTATCTGTGACCAACCGATGCATGTCTGTTTTCCCATTCATGTGAAATCCATAGTTTAGGGCCTAATGAATTTATTTCAATTGACTGATTTTCTTAGCGCCTAAGGCTGCAAATATTGAGTCTGCTTATTCTAATGCTTACCCAATAAAAATGCACTAAATCACAGATTTGGCACATCATTGCGCACGTTAGGCTACACCATGAAATATACAGTCCATTCAGAAAGTATTCAGACCCCTTCCCTTTTTCCACATTTTGTTATGTTACAGACTTATTCTAAAATCGATTAAAAACAAAACAAAAATCTCAATCTACACACAATACCCCATAATGACAAAGTGAAAACAGGTTTTTAGAATTTTTGCAAATGTATAAAAAATACAAAACATACCTTATTTACTTAAGTATTCAGACCCTTTGCTATGAGACTCCAAAATTAGCTCAGGTGCATCCTGTTTCCATTGATCATCCTTGATGTTTCTACAACTTGATTGGAGTCCACCTGTGGTAAATTCAATTGATTGGACATGATTTGGAAAGGTACACACCTGTCTATATAAGGTCCCACAGTTGACAGTGCATGTCAGAGCAACAACCAAGCCATGAGGTCGAAGGAATTGTCCGTAGAGCTCCGAGACAGGATTGTGTCGAGGCACAGATCTGGGGAAGGGTACCAAAAAAAATTTCTGCAGCATTGAAGGTCCCCAACAACACAGTGGCCTCCATCATTCTTAAATGGAAGAAGTTTGGAACCACCAAGACTGAGTAATCGTGGGAGAAGGGCCTTGGTCAGGGAGGTGACCAAGAACCCGATGGTCACTCTGACAGAGCTCCAAAGTTCCTCTGTGGAGATGGGAAAACCTTCCAGAAGGACAACCATCTCTGCAGCACTCCACCAATCAGGCCTTTATGGTAAAGTGGCCAGACGGAAGCCACTCCTCAGTAAAAGGCACATGACAGCCTGCTTGGAGTTTTCCCAAAAGGCACCTAAAGGACTCTCAGACCATGAGAAACAAGATTCTCTGGTCTGATGAAACCAAGATTGGCCTGAATGCCAAGCATCATTTCTGGAGGAAACCTGGCACCAGCCCTACGGTGAAGCATTGTGGTGGCAACATCTTGCTGTGGAGATGTTTTTCAGCAGCACCGACCACTGGAGGTTAGTCAGGAAAGATGAACGGCGCAAGGTACAGAGATCCTTGATGAAAACCTGCTCCAGAGCGCTCAGGACCTCCGACTGGGGCAATGGTTCACCTTCCAACAGGACAACGACCCTAAGAACACAGCCAGTGGCTTCGTGACAAGTCTCTGAATGTCCTTGAGTGGCCCAGCCAGAGCCCAGACTTGAACCCGATCGAACATCTCTGGACAGACCTGAAAATAGCTGTGCAGCGACGCTCCCCATCCAACCTGACAGAGCTTGAGAGGATCTGCAGAGAAGACTCAAGGCTGTAATCGCTGCCAAAGGTGCTTCAACAAAGTACTGAGTAAAGGGTCTGAATACTTATGTAAATGTATATTACAGTTATTTTATTTTTAACTTTTCTTAAATTAAAAAACTGTTTTTTCTTGTCATTATGGGGTATTGTGTGTAGATTGATGAAAAAACAACAACAATGTAACCAATTTTAGAATAAGGCTGTAACGTAACAAAATGTGGAAAAAGTCAAGGGGTCTGAATACTTTCCGAATGCCCTGTATTGACAAATTAGAGACAGTAGCGTACAAGTAGCAAAATTGAACTCGATTGAACATGAAATGTATTTCACTATGATTGAAATAGGCCTATATCCTTCTGCTTATTTTAATGCAGTCATCTCGGTTTTCATTTGAAGCATATTTTTTATACGTTTGTATCATTTGCAAAGACATTGGCAACTTTATTTGTAGTCAACTTTGTTCTTAGGTTATCGCAGTCAGAGAGACGGATAAACCATGTAAATCTAAGTTTAGCAGAGATCTTAGGTGTATAAAGTGACACGGAAGGGCAAACAAACCATCTTTCTGCGTATGCTTCTGATTTTCAACGCCAAACTGACCACTGGTGTGCGTGGCTAAAGAGCTCTATTTTCATGTCATCTAGCTAAAGTGCTAACCTTTCAAACTTACATTTCATATAAGCGAGAAATAATCTTTCAAATACAAAAGGTTTAGCAAAGTTGCACCTGGCTGTTTCCATTCCACATTTCCGGTGTTCCTCAAAATACAGCCGTGTGCAACTTTCCTTAACTGTGTACAGTAAATGTATCTTTTGTATTTGAATAATTATTTCTCGCTTATATGAAAGTTAAGTTCCAAACTATCGTGTGTGTGAGGCATATTTGCATTTAGACAGAGCATTTGGGGAGTGTCGGGGGAATTACCCTCAGGCGGCAGACAGCTTTGTGAATAGACGGTATAATGTTTAACATTACCGGCTGTTGAATGGGCAAAGGTAACACTCACTTTGGTCAGAGACGCATTACAGCCTTATTCTAAAATAGATTAAATAAATACAAATCCTCATCAATCTACACACAATCCCCTATAATGACAAAGAAAAAACAGTTTTTTTGATTTTTTTCAAATTAATAAAGTATTCAGACCCTTTGTTGAAGCACTTTTGGCTGCGATTACAGCCTTGCATCTTCTTGGGTATGACGCTATAAGCTTGGGACACCTGTATTTGGGGAGTTTCTCCCATTCTTCTCTGCAGATCCTCTCAAGCTCTGTCCGGTTATTTTCAGGTCTCCCCAGAGATGTTCGATCGGGTTCAAGTCCGGGCTCTGGCTGGGCCACTCAAGGACATGGAGATACTTCCCGAAACCACCCCTGCATTGTCTTGGCTGTGTGCTTAGGGTCGTTGTCCTGTTGGAAGGTGAACCTTCGCCCCAGTCTGAGGTCCTGAGCACTCTTGAGCAGGTTTTCATCTTTCCCTCGATCCTGACTAGTCTCCCAGTCCCTGCCGCTGAAAAACATCCCCACAGCATGATGCTGCCACCACCATGCTTCACCGTAGGGATGGTGCCAGGTTTCCTCCAGACATGACGCTTGGCATTCAGGCCAAATAGTTCAATCTTGGTTTCATCAGACCAGAGAATCTTGTTTCTCATGGTCTGAGAGTCCTTTAGGTGCCTTTAGGCAAACTCAAAGCAGGCTGTCATGTGCCTTTTACTGAGGAGTGGCTTCCGTCTGGCCACTCTACCATAAAGGCCTGATTGGTGGAGTGCTGCAGAGATGGTTGTCCTTCTGGAAGGTTCTCCCATCTCCACAGAGGAACTCTGGAGCTCTGTCAGAGTGACCATTGGGTTCTTGGTCACCTCCCTGACCAAGGCCCTTCTCCCCCAATTGCTCAGTTTGGAAGAGTCTTGGTAGTTCCAAACTTCTTCCATTTTAAGAATGATGGAGGCTACTGTGTTCTTGGGAACCTTCAATGCTGCAGCCATTTTTTGGTACCCTTCCCCAGATCTGTGCCTCGACACAATCCTTTCTCGGTGCTCTACGGACAATTCCTTTGACCTCATGGCTTGGTTTTTGCTCTGACATGCACTGTCAACTGTGGGAATTATATAGGCAGGTGTGTGCCTTTCCAAATCATGTCCAATCAAATGAATTAATCGCAGGTGGACTCCGATCAAGTTGTAGAAACATCTCAAGGATGATCAATGGAAACAGGATGCACTTGAGCTCAATTTAGTCTCACAGCAAAGGGTCTGAATACTTATGTAAATAAGGTATTTCTGTTTTTTATTTTGCCAACATTTTTTGTATTTTGCCAACATTATAAATTTGCCAACATTTCTAAAAACCTATTTTCGCTTTGTCATTATGGGGTATTGTGTGTAGATTGATGAGAAGAAGAAAAATATTTAATCCATTTTAGAATAAGGCTGTAACGTAACGAAATGTGGAAAAAGTCAAAGGGTCTGAATACTTTCCTAATGCACCGTACTATGGTTAATGAGTGTCCGAAATTGTTGTTGTTGTTTTTCTAATCATTACAAAGTCTCCGCTCATAGTTTCAGTCCTAAAAATAGGATTTGATTCTAGCCATTCTATTTCTATGGTCTCACTTTCCCAGCGAAGTTGCACAATGTTTAGGGGCTCGTCCACTTTCTTAATCTTTCTCTAGAGTATCAAATGTCTGTCTTCATGGTTATTTTTGTTCTCTCTCCTTTCCCTCCCTCAGTCCTCCAAAGTTAATTCAGGACAACAGGCCAACACCCCAGCCAAGAACCATACCTCAGTCCACTCCTAAGTATGTCCCTCTCACTCACTATAACCACCTCCTACACACAAACACACCAGTAACTGAAATCCACTACTTTATTATTTAAGTACCCTCAGGACTGGAAGTGGTGTTTGTTACCTAGTTATCTAACCTCCCCCCTCCCTCATCTTTCACATTCCCTCCTTCTTCGCTCTTTGTTCAAGACGAAAGAGAATGGTGGGATGCAAATGGAAGACTTTGGAAAGGTACTTTCACACTCCCAACGTAAGGCCCTCATACCTCAGGAGAGAACCTTTTATTCCGTTACACTGGGTTGTAATCATTAAAAACATTTTGCAATGGAAAACAAAATGTATTCCGCTTTCTTCTGTTCGGTGCCTAATGAACACAACCCTGTTTACTGTGTGTTGCACCTAAATCCTTCCCTCCTCCCCACTGCCACAAGGTCTTACTGGCAGAGTTCAAGAGGTCAGGCAAACTGTATGCCTTCAAGGCCTTGAAGAAAGGGAACGTTGTGACACGCGATGAAGTGGACAGGTGAGCGCAAATAGTGAGTGAATTTAGACATAACACTGGTTGAGGGAACTGGATCAGAAAGACGCTAGCAGTTGCATTCCACCTGAAATATACTATTATTGTTATTTATAGTGTGTGTGGTTTTTTTCGTGTGTGTGTTGGTTATTTTGTGTGTGTGTGTGTGTTCGCGTACATTTCTGTGATTTTAGTTTAATGTGTGAGAAGAGGATCTTTGAGACGATCAACTCCTCCCACCATCCCTTCCTGGTGAATATGCACGGCTGCTTCCAGATGGCAGACTACGTGTGCTTTGTGATGGAGTACTCCCCCGGGGGAGACCTCATGACCCACATACACACCTGCATCTTTACTGAGAGACAGGCTCGGTAAGCCTTACACAACACACACACAGACCCCATTATGACAGCGTGAGAGCGACCTTAGTGTGAAGCATTGCAATTCCAGGCTGTAAGGCAACAAAATATGCAAATAATTCAAGGGTTGTGTATACTATCTACAGGCACTTTAAACGTGTACCAGTGAGTGACTACAAATGGATAATGCAGGCTAGTCTAATTCTCCTTCAAGCTTTAGAGTTGGTGATACATCAAAACTCATCATTATATGTGTGCCATTTTGTGCCTTGTTTAGGTTCTATGCCTCGTGCGTGCTGCTGGGACTAGGGTTTCCTTACCAGAACAAGATAGTTTACCGGTGAGTAAGTTCTCTCAGTGCTGCTTTCCAGCCCTCTGCCTTCGCACACCTAATGACCTGCCTGTCAGTCATTATTTTTCTCATTTCATCCTGTCGTCTCTCTTTTTCTTTTTTCAGGGATCTGAAGCTAGACAACCTGTTGATGGAAGCAGATGGCTATGTGAGGATAGCAGACTTTGGATTGTGCAAGGAAGGTACGGTACATTATGGTTATGGCTTCTGGAACATTCCCTTTCAGACCCACTGTCCCTCCCACTCACTTGGTTTATTAAATGAACAGTCAGTGTTAATCCGTCAGTGTTATTAATCAATGATTTATGTTGGCCTTTCATTTAAAGTTATTCGCTGTTAGCCCTGGGCTAAGGAACGCCTCAGTATTGAAAGTGGGCCAACGGTGTCAATCTTGCTGCACGAAGTAAGGTCTTGATTTCAGAAAAGGGATCAAAAAGGGGCTTAGGTGGTGGGCGTGGCAGGGGGTGCGGTCGACCTGGCTGAATATGAGAACATTTGAGAGAACCCCATCTTGGCGGTGTTGTTTTAAAGCTAATTTCCTGCAATTCTACATATTCTGCCATGGAGGTGAGAGAAAATATTGCAGTTTTAAAGATATTGTTTTGTGATTGTTAGTTCTCAATTATATACAGTGCCCTCCACTATTATTGGCACCCCTGTTTAAGATGTGGTCGAGGACTTCCAAAAATTCTCCTTTTTTTTTAAACAACATAGAACCCAAATGCAAAAAAATAGAAAAATCCTACCTTTTATTTAAGTACATTACTTTGGTGGTAAAAAAAAAAATCACACATTTAGAAAAAAAAAAACTTGAAATCATGTGTCCCACAATTATTGGCACCCCTAACAATTCCGCTGAAAATTTTAATTGATTTTTTTAAAAATATATTTTTCTGTAGTTGCTAAAGTTGGTCAGGGTATCTAGGAACTTTTAATTAGTAATTCATGACTTTCTGTTTCCCTGGGGTATAAATATGACGTGACACAGAGGCCTAATTCTCTTACCCATTTGTCAACATGGCAAAGACAAGAGAACACACCATTCAAGTAAGGCAGATATGTGTCGACCTTCATAAGTCAGGCAATGGCTACAAGAAAATAGCCACTCGCCTTAACTTGCCCGTATCTACAGTCAGAGGAATCATTAAGAAGTTTAAAACAACTGGAACAGTGACAAACAAGGCTGGAAGAGGTCCCAAGTTTATCTTGCCACAACGCACAGTGAGGAGGATGGTAAGAGAAGTAAAAAAAAGTCCTAAGCTCACTGTCACAGAATTGCATCAAAGAGTGGCATCTTGGGGTCACAAAGTCTCCAAAACAACCATCAGATGCTCTCTACATGCCAACAAGCTGTTTGGGAGGCATGCAAGGAAAAAGCCTTTTCTCACTAACACTCACAAACGTAAACGTCTGGAGTTTGCTAAGCGGCACTGGGACTTCAACTGGGATCGTGTGCTTTGGTCAGATAAGACTAAGATTGAGCTTTTTGGCAACAAACACTCTAAGTGGGTCTGGCGTAAAACACCTCATGCCCACCGTGAAGTATGGTGGAGGATCTGTGATGCTGTGGGCCTGTTTCTCTTCCAAAGGCCCTGGGAACCTTGTTAGGGTGCATGGCATTATGAACGCTTTGAACTACCAGGACATTTTAAATAAAAACCTGATGGCCTCTGCCAGAAAGCTGAAGATGGGTCGTCATTGGGTCTTTCAGCAGGATAATGATCCAAAACATGTGGCAAAATCTACACAAAAATGGTTCAGCAGTCACAAACTCAAGGTCCTCCCATGGCCATCTCAGTCCCCAGACCTCAACCCAATCGAAAACCTGTGGGGCGAGCTAAAGAGGAGAGTGCATAAGAGAGGACCCAGGACACTGGATGATCTAGAAAGATTGTGCAAAGAAGAATGGTCAAAGATCCCTCTCTCTGTGTTCTCCAATCTTGTGAAATGTTATAGGAGGAGATTAAGTGCTGTCTTGTTGGCAAAAGGGGGTTGTACAAAGTATTAACATCAGGGGTGCCAATAATTGTGGGACACATGATTTCAAGGTTTATTTTTTTCTAAATGTGTGATTTTTTTTTTTACACCAAAGTAATGTACTTAAATAAAAGGTTGGATTTTTCTATTTTTTTTGCATTTGGGTTCTATGTTGTTTAAAAAAAAAAGGAGAATTTTTGGAAGTCCTCGACCACATCTTAAACAGGGGTGCCAATAATTGTGGAGGGCACTGTATATATTGTACTTTTACACTGTTTGGACTTAAGCGACCCGAAAAAAAACGCTTAGGCGGCCCACCCAAGGATTTCAATGGCAGAAAAATCCCAGGATACACACCCCTGCCATCCCTCTAAAAGGTTATCTTTCCCCGTCCTATGTGTGTATCTGCAGGTATGGGTCACGGAGATCGCACCTCCACATTCCGTGGCACGCCATAGTTCCTGGCCCCCGAGTTGCTGACGGACAACAACTACACCCGCTGTGTGGACTGGTGGGGCCTGGGTGTCCTCATCTACGAGATCCTGGTGGTAGAGGTCGGTAGCAGAGAGATTAATAAAATAACCTAGAGCAGGGATCTCAAACTGCCGGTGCGCGGGCCAAATGTGGCCTGCTTAGCTCTGTGGTGCATCCTCTTCTATGAGATGCTGGTGGGAGAGGTCAGTAGAATAGAGATACCTAGAGGATCTCTCCGGTTAGTAGGCTCACAAGGTCCACTCCTATGGTGAACCAACCAAGTATTTTAAGTTTAGATCTTGGTTGAATTTAGATGTTTGGACCTGAGAAATTAATCGAGAAACCTAAATGATCTTTCATGTCAGTTGGCTCACAATGTCCACTCATATGGTGAACCCATTAAGTATTATTCTGATGTTTGTTCTTGGTTGAATAAGGATGTTTGGTCTGGTATGAATTAAGATGTTTTCGCCTGGTATCATGATAGGAATGAGGTTGTTTGGACTTTCATTGCAATGGCGTCTCTCTCTCTTCTCATCTGTGGCAGTCTCCCTTCCCTGGTGACAATGAGGAGGAAGTGTTTGACAGCATAGTAAATGATGAAGTGTGCTATCCGAGGTTCCTCTCCCCAGAGTCTGTCTCCATCATCCAGAAGGTATGTGGGCCATCCTCTCGGTATACTGCCTTGTACAGTATACTGCCTTCTCGTTACACAGTCTGAACCAACAACAAGCTGCATTGCAAATACACAACTTATGATAGCAAGTGGAACAACCACTTTTTTTCTTCTTTTTTTTTATGGGGGGTGGGTGGAAGGATGACTTTATACTATTCCAGGTATTCTTTAAAGAGGTAGGGTTTCAAGTGTCTCCGGAAGGTGGTCAGTGACTCCGCAGTCCTGGCGTCGTGGGGGAGCTTGTTCCACCATTGGGGTGCCAGAGCAGCAAATAGCTTTGACTGGGCTGAGCGGGAACTGTGCTTCTGTAGAGGTAGGGGAGCTAGCAGGCCAGAGGTGGATGAACGTAGTGCCCTCGTTTGGGTGTAGGGTCTGATCAGAGCCTGAAGGTAAGGAGGTGCCGTTCCCCTTACAGCTCCGTAGGCAAGCACCATGGTCTTGTAGTAGATGCAAGCCTCAACTGGAAGCCAGTGGAGTGTGCAGAGGAGCGGGGTGACATGAGAGAACTTGGGAAGGTCGAACACCAGACGGGCTGTGGCGTTCTGGATAAGTTGTAGGGATTTGATGGCACAGGCAGGGAGCCCAGCCAACAGCGAGTTGCAGTAATCCAGACGGGAGATGACAAGTGCCTGGATTAGGACCTGTGCCGCTTTCTGTGTAAGGTAGGGTCGTACTCTGCGAATGTTGTAGAGCATGAACCTGCAGGATCGGGTCACCGCTTTGATGTTAGCGGAGAACGACAGGGTGTTGTCCAGGGTCACGCCAAGGCTCTTTGCACTCTGGGAGGAGGACACAATGGAGTTGTCAACCGTGATGGCGAGATCATGGAGCGGGCAGTCCTTCCCCGGGAGGAAGAGGTTCAGCTTGAGAGAAGAGCAGTCTCAGTTGAATGACCAGTCTTGAAACCTGACTGGTTTGGATCAAGAAGGTCATTCTGAGAGAGATAGCAGGAGAGTTGGCTAGAGACGGCACGCTCAAGAGTTTTGGAGAGAAAAGAAAGAAGGGCTATTGGTCTGTAGTTGTTGACATCGGAAGGATCGAGTGTAGGTTTTTTGAGGAGGGGTGCAACTCTCGCTCTCTTGAAGACGGAAGGGACATGGCCAGCGGTCAAGGATGAGTTGATGAGTGAGGTGAGGTAAGGGAGAAGGTCTCCGGAAATGGTCTGGAGAGGAGGGGATAGGGTCAAGCGGGCAGGTTGTTGGGCGGCCGGCCGTCACAAGTCGCAAGATTTCATCTGGAGAGAGAGGGGAGAAAGAAGTCAAAGCATAGGGTAGGGCAGTGTGAGCAGGACCAGTGGTGTCATTTGACTTAATAAATGAGGATCGGATGTCGTCAACCTTCTTTTCAAAATGGTTGATGAAGTCATCCACAGAGAGGGAGGGGGAGGAGGATTCAGCAGGGAGGAGAAGGTGGCAAAGAGCTTTCTAGGGTTAGAGGCAGAGGCTTGAAATTTAGAGTGGTAGAAAGTGTCTTTAGCAGCGGAAACAGAGGAAGAGAATGTAGAGAGGAGGGAGTGAAAAGATGACAGGTCCGCAGGGAGTCTAGTTTTCCTCCATTTCCGCTCGGCTGCCCGGAGCCCTCTTCTGTGAGCTCGCAATGAGTCGTCAAGCCACGGAGCAGGAGGGGAGGACCGAGCCGGCCGGGAGGATAAGGGACATAGAGAGTCAAAAGATGCAGAAAGGGAGGAGAGGAGGGTTGAGGAGGCAGAATCAGGAGATCGGAGGGAGAAGGATTTAGCAGAGGGAAGAGATGATAGGATGGAAGAGGAGAGAGTAGCGGGAGAGAGAGAGCGAAGGTTGCGACGGCACATTACCATCTGAGTAGGGGGAGAGTGAGTAGTGTTGGAGGAGAGCGCAAGAGAAAAGGATACAAAGTAGTGGTCGGAGACTTGGAGGGGAGTTGCAGTGAGATTAGTAGAAGAACAGCATCTAGTAAAGATGAGGTCAAGCGTATTGCCTGCCTTGTGAGTAGGGGGAGACGGTGAGAGGGTGAAGTCAAAAGAGGAAAGGAGTGGAAAGAAGGAGGCAGAGAGAAATGAGTCAAAGGCAGATGTAGGGAGGTTAAAGTCACCCAGAACTGTGAGGGGTGAGCCATCCTCAGGAAAGGAACTTATCAAGGCGTCAAGCTCATTGATGAACTCTCCAAGGGAACATGGAGGGCGATAAATGACAAGGATGTTAAGCTTGAATGGGCTAGTGACTGTGACAGCATGGAATTCAAATGAGGAGATAGACAGATGGGTCAGGGGAAAAAGAGAGAATGTCCACTTGGGAGAGATGAGGATTCCTGTGCCACCGCGCGCTGACCAGATGCTCTCGGGGTATGCGAGAACACATGGTTAGACGAGGAAAGAGCAGTAGGAGTAGCAGTGTTTTCTGTGGTAATCCATGTTTCCGTCAGCCCCAAGAAGTCGAGGGACTGGAGGGTAGCATAGGCTGAGATGAACTCTGCCTTGTTGGCCGCAGAACGGCAGTTCCAGAGGCTTCCAGAGACCTGGAACTCCACGTGGGTCGTGCGCGCAGGGACCACCAGATTAGAGTGGCAACAGCCACGTGGTGTGAAGCGTTTGTATGGCCTGTGCAGAGAGGAGAGAACAGGGATAGACAGACACATAGTTGACAGGCTACAGAGAAAGGCTACAATAATGCAAAGGAGATCGGAATGAAATGAACTAAACATCTGGGAAAGCGAGAGAGGGGGGGCCTCCCTCACTTACGTTTCACTGAAACACTCAAATATAACTCTCCCAGCTTCCACTTTAGAAATTATAATTGTTGTAAACTACAGCGGTTCAATATTTCTAGGAATAGACTCTAACTTAGTTTATTCAGATAGCTAACTTGGTACACCGAATCCTATGACGCCAAAGCCAACTAGCATGCCAGCCTCCAATAACACAGTTTAGCACCAATACTCGGTTACAACATACCACCAGTGTGTTAACACACCAAGCAGATCATTCGTGTCCGTGTCTAACGTTGTGTAAAGTTTTGGGTTAGTTTTGACAGTTTGAGTGAGTACGTCGTCAACTTATTCAGCCAGTTAGTTAGCTAGAATAGTTAGCATACTAGCTAGCAATTGCTCTCTGCCAACGAACTAACCCCTCCTCCCACGGTACGAACACACAGAGAGCCAAGCTAACGTTAGCTAGTCACCCATGTCCCGAATTCCCTTGAACGACTCTGGTTACCAGTATGTAAAAACAAAAATAAATGTAGGTTATAGCTTACCCTTAGTAGCCAGTTAAGTGCAAAGCTAGCCACTGAATCGATTCAGACAGTTTGCGTCTGTCCCAACGGAGAGAAAGCGTCTCCAAATATTAAAGCTAGGTCGTTCCAGCTATTGTTTAGTTAGCTATCCAGGTAGCTACATTTCGAGTACAGTAGCTAATAACTACCTAACGTTAACGCTTCAGATAATGAGGTTAGAAAAACAGCTGAATGGTAGCTAGCTAGCTGGCATAATTACAGGTACTCTTAAGCGTGAAATAACATTGGAAACAACTATCCACAGTTGCTAATAGTTACCAGTAGCTACTCGCTAGCTAGTTAGCTTTATTTGTCCAGGTAGTGAGTTAGCTAGCCTCGTGCTTCACCGGGCTCAGCCGAATACAATACTTACCTACAATAATTACCTACAATAACTACCTAGATAAACTACCTACAATACCTAACTACAATACCTACCTACCTACAATCTAAATACATGGTTTAAGCTTTACTCGACACCATATAAGCCTAGCTTACCTCCCGCCAGACGAGCTCGTGGAGTTGCAGTCAAATTACACCACTATGTTCACCTGGTGACCGCTCCTGAAGGCCTGGGTAAACCGGGAGATTCCAAATTGAGGTCTTAGGGTAGCTGCACTCCGTGAAAGGAGCAGCTGGACCCGCCTAAGATGTGAGAGGAAGCGGGCACGGGTGGATACCACATTTCCGAACATAGTATTGAGAGAGGTGAGCAGAATAAATCACCAATGGGTTAAGAGACTCCCTTAAGGGGTCACAGCTGGGGTGACTGGCAGAATTTGGTAAAGCAGGCAATATTTCAGAGGAATAAGTGTCCTCTGGGATTGATTGCTGGTGGAACCTGTTTAGAGTAACCAAAAGTCTGGTTGGTTGGATTGATCCCCAGCAGACCAGTGAGGTCCGTTAGGCGAGGGACCAGAGCCAGTGGAGTCTGTGTGAGACATTGGCCTGGCGAAACCTAAGGATACTTGTATAGATTAAATTGGGCGTTAGAATAGACAAGGTGTGCCCTGGTTACTATTGTTAGATGTTATGGTGTGAGTGTAAAAATAAGTGTTAATCTTAAATTTGAATATTGAGCACGGGATTGTGTTTTAGAAAGTAGCGGCAGGTCTATAGCATTTTTGGGAGGCTGGACTACAGGTTAGAGAACCGAGAACGGTTGAGGATCCCGTGACAGGCGGGCAGTGTCCAGGAAACAAACGTTTTTTTTGGTTCTGTTGGGAGTATGTTTGAAGAAGCTGCTTTGTGGCGATGGGGTTGATGTGAGTATGTAGTATCTGAGGAATTATAACTTTGCTAACGTTTTCAAATGGTATCTGAGAGGATGTTTATTCAGCTTGGAGGGAGCATCTGGGGAGCAGTTTTGTGGGGACACCCCATAGAACAGAGGAAGTCTGTTGTGTGGAGACAGGTGATTTGTCTGTATGGGAAACCACCCACATCATGGTAAAGATTATAAATACTTGGTTGAGACAAAGGAGATCAGAACAAACATATTATTTTGGGTCGCTGTTCTCCAGATGCCTGCAGACGTCTGTAAACTTATGCTGAAATCTTGAAAATAAATAAACCTTTATAATCAAAGTACAGTGTAAGCGGACTCCTTGGTCTCACAGCAAAGATTAGCATTATTCTTTATAAACAACAAGTACCTAAGAATTTCTAACGTTCTATATGGATTCTGTGAATATATGAAAATATGATGAATTTTATGTGTGTGTAATCGATTACTAGAGATTTGATAAAGTAATAATTTGAATAATATTCATATACTAACTTGCGCACCCAAATGTAGACTTACATCAGGGGTGAAAAAAAATGTATACAAGTTTTCTGAGTTGGTCCTGTTTATGGATCGTTTGATATAGATAAGGTTAAGCATTATATGACTCTCTACAAAGTCTGGGCTATAGTCTCAGAAACTGATTGGGGTATGTCCACTTTTTGGAAAACATGGGGAATTGATTTACCCTAATGATGTAACTATAAAAGGCTTATGGGAATTTCTCCGTCCTGGTACAACATGTAAGAAAAAAAACTACCCATAAGGCCTGGAAATTATTGACATAACATAGTACAAAGCCAATTTAGGGTTTCCATCAAACTAATTATCATTGCGGAGCTAATGTGATGTAGTAAAGGAATTTCTTATGTCGCCAGGGAAAATATAATCAGTTTTATTAAACTCGCCAGATCTGTTTCCAAATCAATGAATGTGGATTTAACTCGTTGACTGCTAATGTATTCCCTTTGAGTAAGTCTTTGCAAATAAACACTTGGACGAACTTTAAGGCTATTTTCTGGTAATGGTGTCATTAATATGTTCCAGATGTTAAGACAACAAACCATTGTAATTGGGTTATTTGCGTGATTTCATTATTTTTTAGCAGACGTTCTTATCCAGAGCGACTTACAGTAGCAATTAGGGTTAAGTGCCTTGCTCAAGGGCACGTCGACAGATTTTTTACCTAGTCGGCTCGGGGATTAGAACCAGCGACCTTTCGGTTACTGGCACAACGCTCTTAACCACTAAGCTACCTGCCGCCATTTCTTGGTCATTTCAATAGCATTGGGTCTATGGCAATGACTCAAATCTGGGTTTCTGATTGTAATTCAAACTATTGGTATGTGTTGCTTAGATTGATATAGCAGCCAGTGTTTGTTTTAAGATGTAAACTGAACGATTTAGCAGTTTGCTTAGTTCAAATTGAGGTAATACTTTTTTGGTGTGTGTTGCCTAATGGTTTACGGGAGGAACCTACTGAGAATGGGGTTGTAATTTAAAATACTGAATTAAATATGGATATGAATTGAATATATGCTTGTCAACAACAGCAAGTGTTTGTTTTATTACCTGTAGTCTAATCAGAAGGGACTATTACCTATATCTAATGTATTCTAATAATAGTGGACAGGCAATTGTGATAGAGCTGTGACCATGATCATAATTAATAACTAAACATGGGTATTAATTATTGCATGATAATACAAGGCTACAACAGCAATCTAGTATTATGAAAGTTGTCAAGTTCGTTTTTTTTTTTTTTTACCTTACGATAGAGGTAAACGCAGAACATTGTTTGAGAATGGTTTATATTTTTTTCTACAAGTAAGAATAGAAGAGTTTCCATGTTTTAATCTGCGGGTGTTAGCGACTGGGTCTCGCTGAACTAAAGTGGGCTGTAAGGGACACAATGGGTTAAGTTTGGTGTAGTGGTATGACTAAATTGAGTGCGGAGATGCTCTTTGACAATTTCTAATTATTATTACTAAATTTATAGTTTGGGTTACACCAGTGATATAAGCAAACAGTTAATGTATTCTAAACCGATAATCTGTTTCCATTACGTGGAACAGTGTCCAGTAATTAAAGTAGATTGAAATAAGTATTGAATATTAAACTGATGAGACAGCACCAACTTGTTTGAAGGTTCTAGATTTGTTAATCAACAGGTTTATATTTTTACTAAATCAATGCAACAGGTTGCAATTATTAGATTACCGGAAAGGGGTTATGGGTTTGTTTATTTTAGAAGGTGTCTATTCTACTTAATGGAACACGGTATTATCTGATGTGTCTTGAGAAGGATTCTTTCTTCCAGGATTCTTTCTTCAGTCCTGGAAGAAAGAATCCTACTCAAGACACATCAGATAATACCGTGTTCCACTACAGTATGTATGTTAAGGGAGACGTAGGAGACCACGTCTCAATCGACTTTTTAATAGATGCCTGGGATCAAATATCACTGATTCATTACGCTGAGAAATGGACTGTATTTATGACAGAAAAAAGTATTACATTTAGAGGGGTAACAGGAACAACCTTAGGCGAAACAGCTATTACATATGTCGTTGGACATTGATCCAGTCACGATACCATGATAATTTGACATGGGAGCAAATGGCGATTTTGGGGTTGGATAATCCTTGCGAGAATTAAAGACAATGGAGTCTAAAGGGTAATCAATTAAAAATACTCCTTGCAAACTCAGAGAACGTTGGATGTTTTTCATCTCTTGAGAGATCTTATGTCGTCTTATTCTGGAGTAGTCACGAGGAATTAGATTGAAACAAACGATTAATGATTTGAGGGAGGACAGTGCAATTATCGCCATCATGTTTTGTTTGTAGTTAAAACATTTGGGTTGCTGATTAAGATGTAGTAAAGTGAAGGCTAAAGAAATTGACACTTTCTCTTCCAGAAGAATGGGGATAGTCATTTTCTCTCTATTTGAAATGTTTGCCAAGACTATTGTCTTGGGAGAGCTGTTAGTGAAATTCTGCAGTGTTGTTAGTATAAAGGTTTTCCGGATTAGGCCGTAAGAGGAGCTACCAAATGAAATAAGGGCTGGCCATTTTAGTTTGTTTTTGCCCTATGGTTTGCAAATACCCTCACACAACACACTTGTTATGAATATTTGTTAGTGTTTTAATACCATGTTTCACTTCTTGAATGGACTGTTTCATATGGGTTTAGTGGGTTTTTCACGGGTTAGACAGACTGCACCTTAAAGGGGCACACACATGGAATTTTCTGAAGTTTGGGTTCAAGTTTTTTTCTTTATGGAGTTGTTAAGGGTAGTGATTCTTATTCGATTTGTTTTTTTTTAACCAGTAGTAGTGTTGTTTTTTACACATTACTCAACTGTGCCCGTAATTGATTTGGACTTATCTAAAATTGTTATTTGGGGTATCAGGTTGATTGAGGAGGTCTACACACTGCTACATTTATAGTAATTTAGATTAAGAATGCATTGAGATACTGATCTGTAATTATAATGTGATGAGGAAGTTAATACTAGAATTATGGATATTTCTACTGTATGTTAACATAAATGTACATTCTGCCAGTGTCGATGTGTGCTAAATTGAGGGTTTTAACTTTGAGTGATAGGACCAATGTGAATCACCTAAGAATTGTTATTCTAAATTTGGTTTGGATAATTAATTGGGTTTTGATTATGATTTGTAAATTGACTGATTGATTTGAGTAAGTTGTTAGTATGTTAATAACTATATGAGTGAAGCAATTAATGTATTATGGATTGATTGTTTTGAGTGTTGTTATGCTAATTGTGACATGGGTAAATAAGTTGTGTACTAAAGATATTGACACTATTCTCAGCATGTCCTAGTGAATGAATGGAGAGGGTGAACTCTGATCCTGAGAGTGAAACTGATCCTAATCTATTTGACTATCCATTACTAAATTACATTTTTGATGATAATGGTAATACTGAGGAACTATGCTTGTCCTGGGTCATGTTCATTAGACTTAAACCGGGAGGCACTACCTGGATTTGCCCAACAAGATATGCTAATTTGAGTTTCTACAGATGGTGTTATGGGGATGGAAATAGTTCTTTCCATCATGCTGATCCATTGGAGTGTGCTAGATAACTAAAGCTTATTTTATTAAACTCCATTGTTGCATGCACTGCATTATGCATTAAATATTTGCTTTTCACTGTCAATGAAGATATAGCCTTGAATCATATAAATTGTATGCATCTTTTGTTTTTCTTCATTGGTTCGTGCAGGTGACTGTGTATCATGACCTCCCCAGACAAATTGGTAGAATGCTTAGAATATGTGTTGGAGGTTGAAATGGGAGACAGTGCTGAGTTTCTTGGGAGGAGGCTGAGCCCGTGCTATAGCAGCCGGTCACATGCAGGAACCCATGCAATGAATTATTGCTTTTATGCTTAACAATGTATGTACTTTCTACATGTGTATTCATGTTTTTAAACCTTGTCATTTTCTTTTAAGTTGAGAGAATTCTCAAAATGGGGGAATGTGAGAGCAGAAATTGCAAGATTATGCTATAATACTGTTATTGCATCAAATGGTTGTTTTCTGCAATAGAATAGGGTTCTTAGAAACTCTCATGTGTCTGTGTTAACACTGACAGTAGATATACGATGCCTTTGGTGATAAAACCTACAGCATGCATTCCATAGAATGAGTTGGTGTTTGTGTAATGAGGTACCAGGGAGAGATGGCTCGGGTATGGATAATGATGAGAGGAAGCTTGTCTTGGGGGCCAAACTCTGGTTTCTGTACAATAAGAACAGACTTCACGGCAAATGCTATCTGGCTGGGGGATACTCCTTTCTCATATATCAAGTCACACCTTGTGACCCATTCCATACATCTGTTATTTGTCATGTAGACTAAGAGGGTGTATCTTTGCTATAAAAGATCTTTGTATTCTTTGTGTCGGGGCTGTTGTGCCGACCAGCCTCGCTTATTGCCTTATTGATACGTTTTGAATAAAGTAATATCCTGATTGGTGATTGACCCTGTCTCTCCTCATTATTGATTAGAATTTCCACTACACAAGGCGCCGGTGGACGTCAGTAACTTTGACGAGGAGTTCACAAAGCTCAAGCCAGTCCTCACCACCCCACAGACACCATACTTCCTCACTGCCTACCAACAGGAGATCTTTGCCGACTTTGACTTCTCCTCGCTGCCCTGACCTTAAACATACACATGTATACAATGACGGACAGATAGACGAACGGACGGACAGGACTAAAAGCCAAAATGGTTGCTGCTCCACTGAAGCTGGTTCCTTTACTTCAATGTGACAAACAGCTACCTGTGGCTGAATGAGTACTGACCAGACAGACCACTGTGATGTCCTCTTGGGCATGTCATCTCTCCTCAGGGCCATGAATGTTCCTATGCTCTGTGGGTGATGATGAGCACTCCACCTGAACCTCTACAGCCTATCAGAACTCGGAGCTTGGCCTGCCGATGACGATGAGACCCCAGTCAGTTACACTGAGCTGTAGAGAGGGGACTCCTCATCCATGGGAGTGTCAGCCACTCTGAGCGGTCTTCTGTTTCTCTCTGCCTTATTCAAATCTGGATTTGTATGTTGGGGGTCAATATTGACTTTTTTTACTTTTGTCTTGTTTTTGTTTATTTGTCTTTGAGGTTCCCACTCCATATTGATAGTAGATCAACTAAGTTCAACATTGATATTGCCAAATCAATACTTGACATGCCACTGTTTTGTTACTGTGTCAACATGAATTAGTAGGCCATTTTCTGCACTTTCTTATTCATTTGTGAAACTTAACAAGAGTGCTTTGTTTCAAACATTGGCACCAGTGCAATAATGAGCTTTTAAATTAGTTATAATTCGAAGGATATTGAACAGACCAGCACTTCATAGCACTACACTTCCAATCATAAGAATCTTTGCTGTAAATTAAGATGTTTTCCCATTTATTGTAACCCTATTACGGTCTTGGATATACCTAATTACTAACACTGATTATAGATACTGATGTTTGTATATTTAGCCTGGGAATCCAAATTGAATCGCCATAAACTAGCCTAGGAATGCATGAATGTCATCTTCATGGAGGAAACAGTCCCTGAAGATTTTAAAAAAAAACTTTGATGTGCATTGTGCTACTTTGTAATCAACCTATTCAATGGGTCCATCTTGGGCTGCTTTGGGCCACTTAAACATTTGCATGTCATGTTGAAACTGACATGTTCCTGAAGTACCGTTCTAAAAGACTAGAAATTGTAAGTAAACTTTCGGAAGAATTATACAGTTTGTTAGTATTCCTAGGGAGTAATTTAAATTCAATACCAGTCATGAATATGTTGCCATCTAAATGTATATGTAATATGAATGTACATGCTTTGCTACTAAAATAAATATGCTGTGAAATACAATGAAATAAAATACTATTGTGTCTAGAGATGAGACAAATACACGTTTTTCTTTACACAACATGAAGGAAATGTAAATTAATAAATATCTACTGCTCATTAAGCATTTTTCTGAAATAAACCATTCCATTTATTGATAGGACTACTGCATTTCAAAAGATTTCTTAAAAAACAAACAAATATTGCATAAATTACTTTGTTCATAAACAGTTCACACTGAAATCAGCACTTACAAGACCAAACATCAATGTATATAAAATCACATCACTTATCTTAAAATTCTACTGGAAGAGCCAGAAAGATTTTCCAATACTATAAAAAGTTGACAATATTACCATTATTGCTAATTTCTGTCATGTTTTTCTATGCTCTCCTATTGCACAGAGGATAAGCTAACGATTGAGTTAGGGAAAACACACAACATTGCACTCCTTTAAATAAGATATGTCTTCGCTATTATAGTTCTCTACGATTATTCCTAAAGTTACAAAAAACTAGATGTAAAAATCTCATGCAAACTTTCTATGTTCCAAAATGGACGTTCAAAAAAGTTGATTTGCATCAAGAGCGATAAACCTGTTTACAAAAATAGTTGTATGACATTCTGTCAATTGAAAAAGTGAGATGATAAATTATTGAAATGAATGATTAAACAAGTATGGAGTTTCACCCAAGATCATTCTTCAAACGTCCTCTGGTGATGGTGCAAATTGTGTGCTTTTCACATTTACTATACTTTATAGTAATAGATAATAAAATTGCAAATAAATGGCATACTACCATTTTATAAGAGGTGTAATAATTTGTCAATGGATCATGGTACTCCCAAAAATATATTGCTATAATTGAATTACCATTTTAGTTAGTTATTAATTTGCCATCACATGGCTGAGCTTTGCTTTCATATTAACCCTGTTGCCGGGAAGCTTTGAGCTGTAGTGCACCCTTAAAACCTGACAGGCCTTTTTGTACAGATTAAATAAAACTCAACTATTACAGTAAACCAGACATTGAAAATGTGATATTCCTAACAATATTTCAATAAGCAAAAATACTAAAATGGTTAAGAGGAATGTGCTTCTGGAAATCTAAGGCTGTGCATACACAGGCAGCCCAATTCTGATATTTTGCCAAGAATTGGTCTTTTGACCAATCAGATCATATCTTTTACCCATAAGTGGGAAAAATATCAGAATTGGATTGCATGTGTAAACACAGCCTAAAGACTGGATTGACTGAGTCAATCAGCCACTTGGTGGCTACAGAGCCTGTGTCAATGCTGAGTCGATATTGGGGAAATACACCAACAAGGATTCAAATCATGCTCTCAAGAATAGACAGTTTTACATCAACAACAGTATATGAAAGTACCTTTATACTGTATTTACAACAGTTAGCTTATAGCTTAGTAAACTCAGGGAATAGAAAAACAGGCCATAAGTGAATTAACTTTCTGTTAACCTAACTGTCAAGGAATTATGTGATCTGTAAGTGTGTTCCCTTCAACACAGAAGAGTTCCCTTACTTAGCTCAAATTCCTAATACTTCAGTGATATTTTTGACTCTTCACTCTTAGAAATTATTCTTTGGCCAGAGGAGGGTATTGGAGTGGGTAGGAGTGTAGTGGTTGTCAAAGGCAAGGGTACGTTGTAAGGATAGGAAATAAACATACCAACACTAAGAATCTCATTACTATTCACAGGCTCACAGCAATTACCTTTCTTACCTAGATTGAATATCTGACCTATTTGTTTCAATAAAACTTTTCCTGTCTTCCTGACAAATAAAAATTTTCATGTCACTAGTCAACTGAAATAAATACCAGGATTGCGCTCAAATCCATTGAAATCCACTTACATACTAAACTGGAATGCCTTGCACTCCTGGTTCCAAAAAGTTAGGTGACAAACTGAAGTAATGAGAGGAGTTCATAGTTCATTTGGATGTCTGTCTCATGTAAAGATACTTATAGAAAGGAGGATGTAAACACAATTGGAGGAATTCTAGGGAAGGAATGAAGAACTTGAGTAGACGGTGAGTTAGTTAGCTTGTTTGCTCATCAGATGGGGTCGTTGCCCTCCCTGAAGTACACCTGCTCCCACACTATGGCGCCCCAGTCGCAGAAGAAGCCCCAGAGGTTGCGCAGCGCACCGCGGTCAAACGGATTCTCGTCGGCGCCGCAGTGCTTGAGGTAGGAGATGCGGTGGCGCGACATGAACTCCCAGGTGGTGGTGTTGAGGGAGACCAGGTAGAGGTGGGAGCCCAGGAGTAGGAGCACGGTGAGGGAGAGCACCGCCACCACCGCCGCCGTACCCAGCAGAACGCCATTGCCACGCAGCCACAGCTGCCAGGAGGGCGCCGTGGTGAAGCCCGACCTGCGTCACAGAGAACAAGTGAGATTGGCCACACCTCCCAAACAACAGTGCATCATATGATCAATTGAAACAGAAATCATCTGTATTATCAAGTTCTTCGATCCTGGTTGTGGTGACCCACAGGGTATGCAAATGTTTTTTGTTCAAAAGCATCTGGGTTGGAATAAAACCCTGCATTGCATACCCTGCGGGTCACCACAACCATGTATGAACGGGCTGTGAAGACCCATCTCCACTTACCAGGCCATGTGAAGGCCCCAAAGCAGCACAAACAGCTGGACAGCCAGGTAGAGCACGAACCAGCGGTGGTTCCTCTCACCCACGCAGTTCTCGATCCAGGGGCAGTGGTGGTCGTAGCGACGCACGCAGTGCTGACAGGTCTGACAGTGCTTGGATCGCATTGGCTGCTGCTTGGGCACATGAATGGGAAAGGGGGGAGGAAGGAGGAGTTACAGAAAGCTCTTTCTGGTCATAAACTAGTCCACTGACCTGTACTCATATCATATGCCAGCAGCTTATCTTGCCATGACCATAATTGAGTGAGATAATCTCTTAACAGAGTGAGAGTAGATGGTGTGTCTGTCAGCATCCTAGGATTACATCATCACTCCTAATGTCACCTCAGGAATACATATGCAGTAAATATACATGTCAACAGGTGTACAAGGCTCAATACTATGCTCTTTACTGTTCACTATTTACATTAATAATGTTGGTTTGTCTCTGAATAATAATAACTGTGGCCTACATATCTATGCAGATGACACAGTTATTTATCCCTGTGCCCCCTCAGTGCAGCAGGCCATTAACAACCTTCAGCTTGGCCACAGCTTGCTAAATGTTGATCAAACCAAGTTGATGTTGTTCTCCAGGTCTTGTAAAATTGACCCTAAAGATCTGCGTACTTGCACCTTGAAGGGATCCCATATTGAGCAAGTTCCTCATAAGTATTTAAGTATTTGGATTGATGATAAGCTGTCTTTTAAAACACACATTGAAAAACTATCAAAGAAGCTCAGAATAAAGATCGATTTCCTTTATAGAAATAAATCCTGCCTTACTTTTAAAAACAGGAGGAAAATTGCTCAAGCATCACTCCTGCCAGTACTTGACTATGATGATGTAATCTACATGCATGCAGCAGCCTCCATTTTAAAACCTTTAGATTCAGCCTGCATTTCATCTCTGGAGACAATTTTAGTACACATCATTGCCTTTTATATAATTCTGTTGGCCGGGAGTCTCTGACTAACAGAAGGGCCCAACATCGGCTGCTATTTGTATATAAAGCAGTTCTCCAGAAACTCCCATACTATCTCACCTCACTTCTTAATTGGAAAGCAAGCCACCATCAGACTCGTTTTAGAGGTTCCGCGAGTCTCCACAGAGTCCAGGAAGATTGCTTTTAGTTATTGTGCCCCTGGAGCATAGAATGACCTGCAGGTCACTTTAAGGCTTGACTCTCTGGTCTCGAAGGGTCAGTTCAGGACTTTAATTAGGAATGTGGTGAAAGAGAACTGCACTTGTTTTGATTGATGTGGAATTGTATCTGTCGCTTTTGAATTTGATTTGTTGTAATGTGGAATTGTACATGTATAGCGTTGTATTGAGACTGATCATGTTTATTTATTGTTCCCAGGGCACCTTTGTAAATGAGACCCTGGTCTCAATGGGTTTCCCCTGGATAAATAAAGGTTAAATAAAATAAAATAAAAATACTATAGTAGCCCACTCCATACCTGAAGCAGACAATGACCACAGCGCCGCTGTCGCAGAGACTTGGCTGTTGGCGGAATCATGTCCTGCGTCTCCTCAGTGATGCCAAGGGTGAACTAAAAATACAGTACAAGTGTATTGTTTTTTAGCTGTAATGTATATCCTGAGCATTGATATGCATTACTGTGTTCATGTGTTGTGTGGTGAAGTAAGCAACACGCACCTGTAAGTCACTACCGTCAGATAGGACAAAGCCAGGATCCATGAGTGAGACAGCAAAGTACAGCAACACCGACACAAGGACCAGCAAGACGAAAAGCACAGGTTGGATGAGCTCTCCCCTCTCCTCTTGCTTCCGCAGGTCTGCAACGCAATAATAAATTAGCAATGTTTACTAACTAGCAACTACTACTAGAATGTTGGATAATGAAATACGATCAAATAAATGGCCACCAACAAAAACGCTAACAATGGAGCCTATGCATCCCATGACATTTTCACTTGCAAATACCAATTGCTTTCTGTGATACTGCATGAAGTGCTCAAGGAATGACATTCCAAGCTATACACGATCAAGCAAAGGCTTCCTAAGTCTATGCCAACAGAGAGTAATAGGTCCTAAGTTATGATGGGTATGATAAGGTAAGACAGTTGTATTTATCAAATTTACAAGTAATGACTATTCATTCAAATCAATGGGTATATTTCACTAATTGGAGTATATATAGCCTTATCTTACACAGACTGTGGCTTTATGAGATTAGTCCAACTGTCTTGACCAATAAGGACCTTAGCTACTTTTATCAGCTACCTAATTGGCTGCTTTGTTGATAATGTTGGTGCCACTATTTGATCAAAGATACTGGTAACCAACCCAAGATTTATCATCAGCATCGTTTCTAATGGGAGAAAATAAAGCACAGTGGGCAGAACAAGCAAGGAGGTGGGCAGAGCCAAGCACGAGCGTTTCAAGATCCTATTGGCCCGTTTTAGCATGTATAGGGAACGCATCCTTTGTAAAGTGCGCGTGTGCAATAACTAATTTCGCCCTTGCACTCCTTCTACACAAACGCAATTTTGGCAAAGGGTCAAGTCTACAAAACTTAGCGCGCACTCTGTTCGTAACATATTCTAGTTTTGGGAACAGAAAACTGTATTGAGATCAAATTTCACCAATGAGAAAATATAGCAGAATGTCGACCAAGTTTCATCTAGCTACATCTTCTCCCACTTTCCTCCACGCACTGGCACTGGACTTCCTCTCATCACCATATTTGGTAATAAATGGAAGTGTGGTTTGATGGTATGCTTTACAGTGTAATAATGCATATGTCATCTATGCATTACAGCTGTGCAACGCATACAGGCCTCTGAAAATTAATTTCAATATCCTATTAATCCCGTGCACTTACCTGTATCATGTAGGAAGAGTATCAGTGTTATTACCCATGTCAGGATAACGTGCGCGGTTCTTACAATAAATCCTGACCCGAACACATTTTTGAACATCCTAGCATTCTTCAACACGTAGCAACAGACAGGTACCGGTATGCATCAGGTTACGAGAACTGGCCTACTATAGTTAGCTAACAAAATGCATTTAGCTAACTATCCTTTCTCACCATCGTCCCACATAACGAGTTATCTTGCCAACTAGCCCAACAGCTCGAGGTTTCTCTCCAAATGGCGACTGGAATGGTCTAACATCAACTCAATTCCAAAATGAACATATCAAGCTTGCTGGTTAGACACATACAACCTTAAAACTAGAGTGCTAGCTACATTTCTTCCTAATCACCAAAATAGCGTTCAATCACTTTCGCTCTAATTAATATGATCAGAGCGTTTCTGGAGAGCTGCAATATTATTGTCCGGGGTTGCTGTCCTTCCTTCGGATACGCTAGTTCTATTGGTCATTGCATTCACGTGGTACATGTAACGTATGACATAATTGTGTACATAGATTTTTGCTGTGTTCATGTGCTCTCGGAATTTCATGTGCTATCTAAAATACCATAAAATGAGTTTCAGACTCCAACGCTGTTTATTGTAAACTTCCCAATCAGAAATATGAGTTGAACATAGCAACAACAATACAGTGTAACAGTAGGATACTGTACTGGAAACTGAATCATGTTACCAGAGACGAAGCCAAGGCAGGGCAAGGCTGGGCAGAGGCCCTGCCAGATTGAACACTGGCCCACCCAATCAGGCTGGCTTAAAATACACTGCTCAAAAAAATAAAGGGAACACTTAAACAACACAATGTAACTCCAAGTCAATCACACTTCTGTGAAATCAAACTGTCCACTTAGGAAGCAACACTGATTGACAATAAATGTCACATGCTGTTGTGCAAATGGAATAGACAACAGGTGGAAATTATAGGCAATTAGCAAGACACCCCCAATAAAGGACTGGTTTTGCAGGTGGTGACCACAGACCACTTCTCAGTTCCTATGCTTCCTGGCTGATGTTTTGGTCACTTTTGAATGCTGGCGGTGCTTTCACTCTAGTGGTAGCATGAGACGGAGTCTACAACCCACACAAGTGGCTCAGGTAGTGCAGCTCATCCAGGATGGCACATCATTGCGAGCTGTGGCAAGAAGGTTTGCTGTGTCTGTCAGCGTAGTGTCCAGAGCATGGAGGCGCTACCAGGAGACAGGCCAGTACATCAGGAAACGTGGAGGAGGCCGTAGGAGGGCAACAACCCAGCAGCAGGACTGCTACCTCCGCCTTTGTGCAAGGAGGAGCAGGAGGAGCACTGCCAGAGCCCTGCAAAATGACCTCCAGCAGGCCACAAATGTGCATGTGTCTGCTCAAACGGTCAGAAACAGACTCCATGAGGGTGGTATGAGGGCCCGACGTCCACAGGTGGGGGTTGTGCTTACAGCCCAACACCGTGCAGGACGTTTGGCATTTGCCAGAGAACACCAAGATTGGCAAATTCGCCACTGCGCCCTGTGCTCTTCACAGATGAAAGCAGGTTCACACTGAGCACATCTGACAGACGTGACAGAGTCTGGAGACGCCGTGGAGAACGTTCTGCTGCCTGCAACATCCTCCAGCATGACCGGTTTGGCGGTGGGTCAGTCATGGTGTGGGATGGCATTTCTTTGGGGGGCCGCACAGCCCTCCATGTGCTCGCCAGAGGTAGCCTGACTGCCATTAGATACCGAGATGAGATCCTCAGACCCCTTGTGAGACCATATGCTGGTGCGGTTGGCCCTGGGTTCCTCCTAATGCAAGACAATGCTAGACCTCATGTGGCTGGAGTGTGTCAGCAGTTCCTGCAAGAGGAAGGCATTGATGCTATGGACTGGCCCGCCCGTTCCCCAGATCTGAATCCAATTGAGCACATCTGGGACATCATGTCTCGCTCCATCCACCAACGCCACGTTGCACCACAGACTGTCCAGGAGTTGGCGGATGCTTTAGTCCAGGTCTGGGAGGAGATCCCTCAGGAGACCATCCGCCACCTCATCAGGAGCATGCCCAGGCGTTGTAGGGAGGTCATACAGGCACGTGGAGGCCACACACACTACTGAGCCTCATTTTGACTTGTTTTAAGGACATATCAAAGTTGGATCAGCCTGTAGTGTGGTTTTCCACTTTAATTTTGAGGGTGACTCCAAATCCAGACCTCCATGGGTTGATAAATTTGATTTCCATTGATAATTTTTGTGTGATTTGTTGTCAGCACATTCAACTATGTAAAGAAAAAAGTATTTAATAAGATTATTTCATTCATTCAGATCTAGGATGTGTTATTTTAGTGTTCCCTTTATTTTATTGAGCAGTGTATATTTACAAAATAAAAAATGAAATAAATGAATTTGATTTGTTGTTTGTATTGTCTCCTGACTAATCAGAAATGTTGAAAAATGCAGTTGAAGTTTCCTGGGATCTAATTGGTTATATCACAATCATATGGTACCACTACCCTTAACCACACTGCTAACCTTATGCCTATTGGAGGCATTTATTTGACCTTGGAACATGTTTTAAATTCAAATGTAATGCAAATGTCACTTAAATATGAACAAATATGAATCATTGTTAATGTTTAGACAATTATTTTTTCTATATCATGAATAAATTCAGGTTACTGAGACTTTTTTGCTATTACGTGGGGGACTTTTATTTTGAACATTTCCGAAATTCCGTAACCCGGAAGTACTTTTTGCCCCCAATGAAGAGACGTACTTTCCGGAGCAAAGTCAACACTTGCAACAAGTTGACCTCCCTAGCCTTCTCATCTTATAGAACGGCCTCTTTACAAAATCATCATGCCGTTCATTGATTTAGAAAGCAACTTACCTGATAGTATGTTTTCTGAGGATTTCTTGAAAAAGCTGTGCTCCAAAACAGCTGCTGTTCTAGGGAAACCCGAAGAGGTGAGTAGGCTACTGTATCTAGAATGTTACTGAGTGAAGTTGTTTTGCCTCACTCCATCTGTCTGCCTTTGATACATTGTATTGTTTGCTAATTATTTAGTTCTACTCAGATTGCAGTTAGCTAGCTGTAGCCTAGTTGTCGAACTCAAGCCTTACCGTCTACAGTATTGAATGGGCAAGCTGTAGCCTTGCTCACTAGAACCCAAGGCATTCTGCCTTATCCCAAGGGTTCTCAGCTATAAGCACCGCTTACCATGTGAACTACAATCCCGACGCTCTGTTTTAACATTTAGAAACGTAAATAATAATCGCGTGCAATACGTTTTTTTCGAAACATACAGTGGGGAAAAAAAGTATTTAGTCAGCCACCAATTGTGCAAGTTCTCCCACTTAAAAAGATGAGAGGCCTGTAATTTTCATCATAGGTACACGTCAACTATGACAGACAAAATGAGAAAGAAAAATCACATTGTAGGATTTTTAATGAATTTATTTGCAAATTATGGTGGAAAAATAAGTATTTTGTCAATAACAAAAGTTTCTCAATACTTTGTTATATACCCTTTGTTGGCAATGACACAGGTCAAACGTTTTCTGTAAGTCTTCACAAGGTTTTCACACACTGTTGCTGGTATTTTGGCCCATTCCTCCATGCAGATCTCCTCTAGAGCAGTGATGTTTTGGGGCTGTCGCTGGGCAACACAGACTTTCAACTCCCTCCAAAGATTTTCTATGGGGTTGAGATCTGGAGACTGGCTAGGCCACTTCAGGACCTTGAAATGCTTCTTACGAAGCCACTCCTTCGTTGCCCGGGCGGTGTGTTTGGGATCATTGTCATGCTGAAAGACCCAGCCACGTTTCAACTTCAATGCCCTTGCTGATGGAAGGAGGTTTTCACTCAATCTCACGATACATGGATCCATTCATTCTTTCCTTTACACGGATCAGTCGTCCTGGTCCCTTTGCAGAAAAACAGCCCCAAAGCATGATGTTTCCACCCCCATGCTTCACAGTAGGTATGGTGTTCTTTGGATGCAACTCAGCATTCTTTGTCCTCCAAACACGACGAGTTGAGTTTTTACCCAAAAGTTCTATTTTGGTTTCATCTGACCATATGACATTCTCCCAATCCTCTTCTGGATCATCCAAATGCACTCTAGCAAACTTCAGACGGGCCTGGACATGTACTGGCTTAAGCAGGGGGACACGTCTGGCACTGCAGGATTTGAGTCCCTGGCGGCGTAGTGTGTTACTGATGGTAGGCTTTGTTACTTTGGTCCCAGCTCTCTGCAGGTCATTCACTAGGTCCCCCCGTGTGATTCTGGGATTTTTGCTCACCGTTCTTGTGATCATTTTGACCCCACGGGGTGAGATCTTGCGTGGAGCCCCAGATCGAGGGAGATTATCAGTGGTCTTGTATGTCTTCCATTTCCTAATAATTGCTCCCACAGTTGATTTCTTCAAACCAAGCTGCTTACCTATTGCAGATTCAGTCTTCCCAGCCTGGTGCAGGTCTACAATTTTGTTTCTGGTGTCCTTTGACAGCTCTTTGGTCTTGGCCATAGTGGAGTTTGGAGTGTGACTGTTTGAGGTTGTGGACAGGTGTCTTTTATACTGATAACAAGTTCAAACCGGTGCCATTAATACAGGTAACGAGTGGAGGACAGAGGAGCCTCTTAAAGAAGTTGTTACAGGTCTATGAGAGTCAGAAATCTTGCTTGTTTGTAGGTGACCAAATACTTATTTTCCACCATAATTTGCAAATAAATTCATAAAAAATCCTACAATGTGATTTTCTGGAAATTTTTTTTCTCAATTTGTCTGTCATAGTTGACGTCACGTTTTCCTCTAGGATTTAGCCTGTGCTTAGCTCTTTTCCGTTTCTTTTTATTCTAAAAAAACTTGCTAGTCCCTGCCGATGACAAGCATACCCATCATATGAAGCAGCCACCACCATGCTTGAAAATATGAAGAGTGGTACTCATTGATGTGTTGTGTTGGATTTGCCCCCAAACATAATGTGTTGTATTCAGGGCATGAAGTTAATTTATTTTCCCAATTTTTTGCAGTTTTTCTTTAGTGCCTTATAGGGCTGACACCAATTAGTCGACTGGTCGATTGTTTGGTCGATAGGCTGTTTGTCAACCGAGAATTTGTTAGTCGAGCAGTAGCATATATACTACATGGCCAAAAGTATGTGGACACCAGCTCTTCAAACGTCTAATTCTAAAATCATTGGCATTAATATGGAATTGGTCCCCCATTTGCTGCTATAACAGCCTCCACTCTTCTGGGAAGGCTTTCCACTAGATGTTGGAACATTGCTGCAGAGACTTTCTTCCATTCAGGCACAAGAGCATTAGTGAGGTTGGGCACTGATGTTGGGCGATTAGGCCTGTCTCCTAATCGGCGTTCCAATTAATCCCAAAGGTGTTTGATGGGGTTGAGGTCAGGGCTCTGTGCAGGCCAGTCAAGTTCTTCCACACCGATCTCAACAAACCATTTCTGTATGGACCTCGCTTTATGCACAGGGGCATTGTCATGCTGAAACAGGAAAGGGCCTTCCCCATGTTACCACAAAGTTGGAAGCACAGAATCGTCTAGACTGTCATTGTATGCTGTAGCGTTAAGATTTCCCTTCACTGGAACTATGGGGCCTAGCCCGAACCATGAAAAACAGCCCCAGACCATTATTCCTCCTCCACCAAACTTTACAGTTGACAATACGTCCGTTCTGCCCCATTCTGTGAGCTTGTGTGGCCTACCACTTCGCGGCTGAGACGTTGTTGCTCCTAGACTTTTCCACTTGACCGGGTCAGCTCTAGCAGGGCAGAAATTTGACAAACTGACTTGCTGGAAAGGTGGTATCCTATGACGGTGCCACATTGAAAGTCACTGTGCTCTTCAGTAAGGCCATTCTAATGCCAATGTTTGTCGATGGAGATTGCATGACTGTGTGCTCTATTTTATACACCTGTCAGCAATCCACTAATTTGAAGGGGTGACCACATACTTTTGTATATATAGTGTATCATGACTATCAATGATGTCAAGAAGTTTGTATGAATCTCCCGTTTGGCATGTCACTTAATGTAATGACATGACAACTGCTGAAGTAGAAGAAGTAGAAGAATCCACTAATTTGAAGGGGTGTCCACATACTTTTGTATGTGTAAAATATATATACTGTACAGTCAAAAGTTTGGACACTCCTACTCATTCAAGGGCTGGTACTGTATATGTGTATACAGTGCATTTGGAAAGTATTCAGACCCCTTCACTTTTTCCACATTTTGTTACGTTTCAGCCTTATTCTAAAATGGATTAATTAAAAAGTTTTAATTATTATCAATCTACACACAATACCCCATAATGACAAATTAAAAACAGATACCTTTATTTACATAAGTATTCAGACCTTTTGCTATGATACTCGAAATTGAGCTCAGGTGCATCCTGTTTCCATTGAACATCCTTGAGATGTTTCTACAACTTGATTGGAGACCACCTGTGGTAAATTCAATTGATTTGGACATGATTTGGAAAGGCACACACCTGTCTATATAAGGTCCCATAGTTGACAGTGCATGCCAGAGCAAAAACCAAGCCATGAGGTTGAAGGAATTGTCTGTAGAGCTCCGAGACAGGATTGTATCGAGGCACAGATCTGGGATAGGTTACCAAAAAATGTGTGCAGCATTGAAGGTCTCCAAGAACACAGTGGCCTCCATCATTGTTAAACGGAAGAAGTTTGGAACCACCAAGAATCTTCCTAGAGCTGGCCGCCGGCCAAACTGAGTAATCGGGGGAGAAGGGCCTTGGTCAGGGATGTGATTCAAAAATCATTTTAAACACTATTATTGCACACATAGTGAGTCCATGCAACTTATTATATGACTTGTTAAACACATTTTTACTCCTGTACTTATTTAGGGATGCCATAACAAAGGGGTTGAATATTTTTGACTCATTTTTAGTTAATTTGTAAAAATGTCTAAAAACATAATTCTACTTTGACATCATGGGGTATTGTGTGTAGGCCAGTGACACAAAATCTCAACTTAATCAATTTTAATTTCAGGCTGTAACACAGCAAAATGTGGAAAAACTGAATGGGTGTGAATTCTTTCTGAAGGCACTAGTTTATGAAGGTTTTAACTCCGGTGTCCATATTTAAATACTTAGCTATAGCCTAGCTAGCTAATTCTATTTTTAAAAAATGTGCTTGTGTGTATTTTATGTTGTCTGTCTTCTATGCAGAGAATGATGTTGGTGGTGAAACCTGGACTGCCAATGCTCATGGGTGGAACTTGCGCTCCTTGCGTTATACTGTCCGTGTCCGCCATCGGCGTCACTGACACTGCCGAGAAGAACAAGGAACACAGTGCCAATATCTTCCCTTTCCTCACAGGAGAACTTGGACTTACTGAAGACCGGTTAGAAGCTGATTTATGCAACAAATCATTAATTTATTTTAGCTTAGTGTACTATCCTCTACTGCAGAGCTTTGGTTCTGTTCTAATGACAGAAAAAAATGTGTATGCAGAAGATAAGAGGATCTTGCATTTCTGCATTGGTGTGGCTAAAGGGCAATATGTAATGATACCTTCTCTCACATTGAAAGTAGGAGTGTCCAACTCAACTCTGTTATGGCTCTGTATGTCAGTTCTTGTACACTGCAAGTTCCTGTACCCAGCCTGCCTGCATACTCTTTAGAGCCCAACTCAACTTTGACTCAACTACAATTTTTCATCTGTTTCTTATCTGTTATGCCATGGTGTGTCTGGATTTATGGGTAGTTCAGATGTCTAGGCTAGGCTACTACTACCATGAAGTATTGATTATAGTCTAAGGCCCTATGCCTGTAAGGGGTTGCACAGGAGATCTTTCAACACCATATAGCATTCAAAGTATGTATTGACTTTTTAAATTGCATTTGATATTACATAAATATAATATTGCATTTAGTAGATTGAAATTATAGCAACATGGTCTTCTGGTATATGGTTTTCAATGCATGAATCTAATTGTAGGTGAACTTGTATTCCACAGGGTCGTGATCAGGTTCTACGCACTGGAGCCACATCAGGTTGGAAAGAAAGGAACAGTTATGAGTTACCTGTAGGAGGCACTTTCTGCAACAGAATGACTTCAAACATCTATTCCACAACAGTTACCATCGGAGAGAACAAACCCTGGCAGTGGATTTCCACCACTCAATTGGACATGACAAAGACCTGTACTGAATTTTGATCACTATGGTATGTGACCCCATGAATCTATGCCCTGGAAACTCGTTCATTTATATTACATAGTTGTCTGCGATAGTAAACCAGAACCATACATTTGACAAGCTAGCTGATATAAGAATATATTCATTTTTGATTAGAGGAAATGTAAATCAATTGACCTGTATTCAAAGCTTTTACTATGTAATTTCACCTATTCATTTAGCATACATGATAGACAAGTATTAACAATAAATCATTAATTACATACTATGCAATGAAATCTAGGTAAATGTCAGTGTACGGCAGCTGTGAAATACCATTCTATGCATTTGTTGAGAGTATAGAAGTAGATTAGCACATAACACACTATGTTGCATTGGACTAACATGCATACTGTATTTGTGAAGGACTGTGCTTAGTACATTTCCATATAATGTATTCCTTTTGAGTAAATGTTGTGAAGGCTTTGCTGTACAATTAGTCTTACTTGAAGTAAAAGTACTTAAATTCTTACTTGAGTGTCCCACATGACTCAATTATTTTCTGGATTGAATGTCTTGCCAATATTTCTTCACGCTCAACAGGAAGAGTGGAAGTGTTTTAAAATAATACAAGGTGTGGTAAAATGTGACATTGAAAAGCTAGATATTTAGGAAAAGTAGACTAAACCAAACCAATGTAAACATTTTGCTATCTTTCCATGCGATACAGCCCACTAAAAGCAAAACAAATTTACATTTAGGCTGTGTGCTTTCTGTCCATACATTATTTTTAGTTTAGAAAAGTCTTAAGTTTGCCATGCAAAAGCACCTGCTGGGTCAGCTTATTAGTATAATGTGATTTTGTTTAAAATGGCAAGGAAAATGTCAATGATCTTGCTAATTCTTGGTAGGCTTGTGTTGAAATGACAAGAACATCCCTCTTATCTTACTGTATGCATGGCATCTGTCAGGATGTCTTCTGCTTTTCCAGGTCTGCCACCAGATAAAGGTCTCTTTTATCTGTCAGGTAGAACTGCACCTGAGCTTTATCCTTGTTCATCAGTTTGGTCAGCAGAGCCTCTGTCTACATCTCTCTAGCTCCTCGTCATTAGGCATGTGAAAAAACAAGGCATGCATTATTTTCTTAGATTGAGAATGATGGCACAGTGATTTCTCCCCATATCCCCGGTGTTGATAGAGCAAAACCAAAAGGCCTCAAAGATTTAACCCTTATCAGTCAAAATATGTGAATTTACCTTACTCTCACACCACAGGATATTAGTTATGTGTTCTCACCCTGACCTTAAATGTTATGACATGCCCCAATACTGTGTATGTTGTTCTTTAACTTCTTAGCAAGACTATTCTGGTTTGTCTTTGTGCTGTTCCATGATGGCGTAGCAGTGCGGTCGTGTTCTCTTGTGTGTAAAGAGACTGTTTTTTTGTATTTTATGTATATATTTCCCTATCACACTTTTCATCCTTCTACTAAATATACTTTCCTGCAACCCGCCTCACTCAATGTAGAACGGATTCTATTATTTACTCACCTTTATCTAGAATCTCCAGTTGAAACTAACTAGCCAGCCAGCTAACTAGCTACTTGCTATTAGCCAACGTTAGCGGTTTTCACCCAGAACATTGGATTTTCTGCCGGAATAACTGAATCACTGGACCTTAACACCGGATCGCAACTAGCTAGCCGCAACCGAATGGATGTTGCTGTAGGCTAATCACCACTGCCCCCGAAGCAAGCATCAGTTAGCCTTGAGCTAGCCTCGAGCAGGCCCATATCCCGGCTATCTACCTCTGTCTACCGGATAGGAGTAGCCAGCTAACTAGCTACTTGCTATTAGCCACCGTTAGCGGTTTTTCACCTTTGTCCGGTTTTTCACCACTAACCTACCTACCAGCCAGCTCTAGCCTGGACTATTATCGGCCAGTCTGCACTGTCTGCACAGCGCGTTATCGACCCAGAACCTATCAGATTTTCTGCCGGAATCACTGAATCACTGGACCTTTAACACTGGATAATCGCAACTAGCTAGCTGCAACCAAATGAACGTTGTTGTTGGCTAATCAGCCTTGAGCTAGCCTTGAGTCAGGCACATCTCCCGGCTATCTACCTCTCTGTCAACCGGACGGGACCTCCTAGAGTCGACAAGGAGCCCCGCCGATCCATCATGACTGGTCTGCCGACGTAATCGTCTGTGGTTTGAACAGGCTTCCCGTTGCGACGACCACGAAGATCCATCTGCTAGCCCCGGCCCGCTAGCACACGCAAACGACAGCCGTGCTTCCTGATCGCTGTGCTGTAGTACCAATTCGAACTGCTCTCGGACTCACATATTGCTGTTCACTGGACCTTATGATCACTCAGCTGCACAGCTGATGCCTGCTGGACTGTTCCTTTACACGGTACCCTGTCCTGTTTATCTGTTTAGCCTCAGCCCAAACTTTCATCACCATTACCAGTTGTTGTCATAGCTCTCTCTAATAACACCTGTGATTGCTTTATGCCTCTCTCCCATGTCAATATGCCTTGCCTATTGCTGTTCCAGTTAGTTCTTATTATACAATTTCACTGTAGAACCCCAAGTCCCTCTCAAACTGCCTCAAATAGTTCCTTTGTTCCACCCCCCCATACACGCCGAGATCGGCTCAATCGGTGCCTCCAATGATGCTATCTCTTTCATTGTTACCCAACGCTTAGGTTTACCTCCACTGTACTCATATCCTTCCATATCCTTGTCTATACATAATGTCCTGAATCTATTCTACAACGCCCGGAAATCTGCCCCCTTTATTCTCTGTACCCAACGCACTAGAAGACCAGTTCTTAAAGCCTTTAGCCGTATCCTTATTCTATTCCTCCTCTGTTCCTCTGGTGATGTAGAGGCTAACCCAGGCCCTGCAGCCCCCAGTATCACTCCGACTCCCCAGGAGCTATCATTTATTTACTTCTGTAACCGTAAAAGCCTTGGTTTTCTGCACGTTAACATCCGAAGCCTCCTTCCTAAGTTTGAGTTATTCACTGCGTTAGCACACTCTGCCAACCCTGATATTCTAGCAGTGTCTGAATCCTGGTTTAGGAAGGCCACCAAAAATTCTGGAATTTCCATCCCCAACTACAACATTTTCCGTCTAGATAGAACTGCCAAAGGGGGTGGAGTTGCAATCTACTGTAGAGCGAGCCTGCAGAGCTCTATCATACTATCCAGGTCTGTGCCCAAACAGTTTGAGCTTCCACTTCTAAAAATCCACCTTTCCAAGAAATAAGTCTCTCACTGTTGCCGCTTGCCCCCCAGTTCGTACTGCTTGGTGACCTAAATTGGGATATCCTTAACATCCCGGCCATCCTACAATCCAAACTAGATGCCCTCAATCTCACACAAATTATCAACGAACCTACCAGGTACACCCCTAAATCCGTAAACATGGGCACCCTACCCTCATAGATATCATCCTGACTAACTTACCCTCTAAATACACCTCCGCTGTCTTCAACCAGGATCTCAGCGATCACTGCCTTATTGCCTGCGTCCGTAACGGGTCCGCGGTCAAACGACCACCCCTCATCACTGTCAAACGCTCCCTAAAACACTTTAGCGAGCAGGCCTTCCTAATTGACCTGGCCCAGGTATCCTGGATGGATATAGATCTCATTCCGTCAGTAGAGGATGCCTGGTTGAGAGGAAATTACTTTTAAAGAACAATCTTAAATAAACATGCCCCATTCAAAAAATACAGAACTAAGAACAGATATAGCCCCTGGTTCTCCTCAGACTTGACTGCCCTTGACCAGCACAAAAACATCCTGTGGCGTACTGCATTAGCATCGAATAGCCCCCGCGATATGCAACTTTTCAGGAAGTTAGGAACCAATATACACAATCAGTTAGGAAAGCAAAGGCTAGCTTTTTCAAACAGAAATTTGCATCCTGTAGCACTAACTCCAAAACGTTTTGGGACACTGTAAAGTCCATGGAGAATAAGAGCACTTCCTCCCAGCTGCCCACTGCACTGAGGCTAGGAAACACTATCACCACCGATAAATCTACAATAATCGAGAATTTCAACAAGCATTTTGCTACGGCTGGCCATGCTTTCCACCTGGCTACCACTACCCCGGCCACCAGCTCTGCACCCTCCGCTGCAACTTGCCCATGCCCCCCCCCCGCTTCTCCTTCACACAAATTCAGACAGCTGATGGTCTGAAAGAGCTGCAAAATCTGGATCCCTACAAATCATCTGGGCTAGACAATCTGGACCCTTTCTTTCTAAAACTAGCTGCCGAAATTGTCGCAACCCCTATTACTAGCCTGTTCAACCTCTCTTTCGTAACGTCTGAGATCCCCAGAGATTGGAAAGCTACCGCGGTCATCCCCCTCTTTAAAGGGTTAGGGTCTGAGATCCAAACTGTTACAGACCTATATCCCTCCTGCCCTGCCTTTCGAAAGTTTTTGAAAGCCATGATAACAAACAGATCACCAACCATTTTGAATCCCACCGTACCTTCTCCGCTATGCAATCCGGTTTCTGAGCTGGTCATGGGTGCACCTCAGCCACGCTCAAGGTCCTAAACGATATTATAACCGCGATCGATAATAGACAGTACTCTGCAGCCGTCTTCATCGACCTGGCCAAGGCTTTCGACTCTGTCAACCACCGCATTCTTATTGGCAGACTAAATAGCCTTGGTTTCTCAAATGACTGCCTCGCCTAGTTCACCAACTACTTCTCAAATAGAGTTCAATGTGTCAAATCGGAAGGCCTGTTGTCTGGACCTATGGCAGTCTCTATGGGGGTGCCACAGGGTTCAATTCTTGGGCCGACTCTTTTCTCTGTGTATATCAATGATGTCGCTCTTGCAGCTGGTGACTCTTAGATCCACCTCTACGCAGATGACACCATTTTATATACATCTGGCCCTTCATTGGACACTGTTAACAAACCTCCAAACGAGCTTCAATGCCATACAACACTCCTTCAGTAGCCTCCAACTGCTCTTAAACACTAGTAAAACTAAATGCATGCTCTTCAATCGAACGCTGCTGGCACCCGCCCACCCGACTAGAATCACTACTCTCGACGGGTCTGACCTAGAGTATGTGGACAACTACAAATACCTAGGTGTCTGGTAAGACTGTAAACTCTCCTTCCAGACTCACATTAAGCATCTCCAATCCAAAGTTAAATCTAGAATCGGCTTCCTATTTCGCAACAAAGCCTCCTTCACTCATGCTGCCAAACATGCCCTTGTAAAACTGACTATCCTACCGATCCTTGACTTCGGTGATGTCATTTACAAAATAGCCTCCAACACTCTACTCAGCAAATTGGATGTAGTCTATCACAGTGCCATCCGTTTTGTCACCAAAGCCCCATATACTACCCACCACTGTGACCTGTACGCTCTTGTTGGCTGGTCCTCACTACATATTCGTTGCCAAACCCACTAGCTCCAGGCCATCTATAAATCACTGCTAGGCAAATCCCCGCCTTATCTTAGCTCATTGGTCACCATAGCAA